CCCCTCCTTCTGCACTGACCTTGGTGTCTGCAGAGTTGTTCCTCTCGCATCTTCTCACTCTTCTCTTGTGGCTGCTGCACACAGGTTTTTTTTCCCTTAACTGTGTTACCCCAGAGGTGCTACCACCATCGCTGATGGGCTCTGCCTTGGCCAGCAGCGGGCCCGTCTTGGAGCTGGCTGGCATTGGCTCTGTCAGACACAGGGGAAGCTTCTAGCAGCTTCTCACAGAAGCCCCTCTTGTAGCCCCGCCCCCACTATCAAAACCTTGCCCCACAAACCCAATATAGAGATATAGGTAGAAGTATCCAGTAAAAACAGGACATATGAACCAAATACAGATTTGAAGTGTTTGGCTGGAATGTTTTTCATACCTCATGGATGTAAGAGAGGCTAAAATGCTGTAAAGATTTGGTGAGAAATCTGCATGGCAATTAATTTTTACATGTGATTTAAAGCCAAAAAAATATTTTTGTCTAACCAGATTATGCACTCCTTTGCTGATTCTTCTGTTTGTGCAAAGTGTAGTCAACTTCAAAACCTATTCTTCTCTCCAGAATCCAGGATATGCTGGACGGCAAGAACTTCCTGAAAACTTAAAGATCAACTTCCGTTCGGTGGCTATGATGGTTCCTGATCGTCAAATCATAATTCGTGTCAAATTGGCTAGTTGTGGTTTCATTGCTAATGTTGTATTGGCAAGGAAATTCTTTACATTGTACAAGCTATGTGAAGAACAACTGTCAAAGCAGGTGATTATTTTCATAAGAGGAAAAATTATCTTAGGGAAAAACTATATATGATGTCACAAATTATTAGTATCTATGTGAAGCAAATGGAAAAGTTCCTGTTCACTACATAAGCTAAATGACACTTGCAGTTTAGTAGTGTAACCCTCTGCTGTCCTGGAGAACTAACTCCTGCTACAATTTTTCTGTACAAGAATGGGACTGTCCTTCAGAATACTGCTTATTATTAAGATTTAGCTTTAATGAATGGTGATGATTGTGGCAAATAAAGGGCTTATATATTAGTTAGTCTTACAGAGTGAATTGAGAAGTGTTTGGTTTGTGCTGCCTGCACTTGTTTAGATATTTCTCAAATAAAATCAGTTTCCAAGGTCCACAGAGAATTCAAAATACTACTGCTCATTTATTTCTTAATAGTCCTTGGGAACCTTATCTTGGTTCAAAGACTTGTCATTACATTTCTTTTTTCTGTCACACCTTACAGTTTAGTAGATGGTAGCAGAGGTGGGGAATGAAATCACCCATAGGCATATACTCAAAAGCTAGTTGTTGGGTGTTTGGAGGCATGTACCACTTCTCATATATATACATATGTTAAATGATAAATAAGAATTGTTTTATCCTAATTAACTCTGGGAAAATTTTCCCAAACTTTGTATATCTTCTAGGTGCATTATGATTTTGGCTTGCGGAATATATTGTCAGTGCTACGTACATTAGGAGCAGCAAAAAGAGCAAACCCCACAGATACTGAATCTACCATTGTCATGCGTGTGCTGAGAGACATGAACCTGTCTAAACTAGTAAGTTCTGAGGGCCTGGTAAATTAATTAAACTGCACTTTGGAGCTATGTGGAGTTCTTTTGGAAATACAATTTAAATCTGTTAAGGTGATCACTAGAAGATTGGATGTGGCCTTTACACTGAAGCTAGCTTGGAAATGTTCCATTCTCTGAATGGTCTTGGATACTGGTTTTGGCTGGGATAGAGTTAGTTTTCTTCATCGTATCTTGTATGGGGCTGGGGAGGGAGGGAGAGAGGGGCTGTGTGGTGCTTGGCCTACCCAGGTTAAACCACAACACCTTGAATTGTTCAGAATTTTTTTTTACATATTTCCCCTGCTACCTGTAGAAATAAGTGACCAAATAGAGTTCTATGTAGTAATCTATTTAAAACCTTTGACCTAAAGTATCTAGTCACTCTCTTGAAATAATCTGTAGTACCATCTTATCCATCTTAAATAGCCAACAAAACCTCTTCTGTTGCTGTGATATTCATCTCCTATATTATCTTTTTTTACACCTTAGACAAATAATTTACTATTTGTATAAATGTTATTGCTAAAATCTACTTTAATTTACTGCATTCCAGTCTGTATGTTAGCGGTTTATTTTCAATAACTTTTGATTATTGGAAGCATCACATGATCTCCTTCTGCTGTGTCCTGCTAGAATGTTTAGCACCTAGAGGGTTACCATAGATGGTTCCTTATGTTTTCAAATATTTCTTTAGCTTTGCAGGAGTTAGGAATTATTTTTTAAAATGCTAGAATAAATAAAATAGGTTTTAATCTGTGTTCCCCCCTCCCAATTTTCACTAGATTGATGAAGATGAACCGTTATTCCTGAGTCTAATTGAAGATCTATTTCCAGATATCCAGCTTGATAAAGTAGGCTATCCTGAACTGGAAGCTGCCATTGACAAACAGGTAATGTTTTTCTTGATCTGTGCTGCTGTGGCATAACTATCATAATGTGTCATCTAAGAAAATTATTGATGTTGGAGCTACCCAGCTGGTAATAATAGGTTTTACTATCTAGAGGAAGGGTAGGCTTTTCCATAAATCTTTACCATTGACATATTAGTATTAACCTTATTCTTAAGGAAATCACTGGATTGTGGTTTTTTGAGAGTCATTTGTGGTAATCAGTTGTGTGCTTTCTGTAGTTTATACAGTTGACTTTTAAAAAGGACTTACAAATTAAGCTTTTATTAGGAGAAACTATAAAGAACTTGAATCTCATGCTTTAAATCATCATTTCCTAATAAATTAAAAAGAGGTCTTAATAACATGGTCTTCACAGCTCTACTGTTGGTGATCTGTGAAGCCAGACATAGAAAGTGTCACCTCTTTTAACAACAAACCATTATCACTTGCTTGTAAGTAGGGTGTCACGTCAGCCCATACTGAAGCAGCATGGGTAACTTGAAGAGCTTTAGGCACTGTGATTATCTTATGTAAAACAAAATTTATCAGAAGTTCAGATCTAGGGATCTTATGGTGCCTTTTTAGTGCTGACAGTATTTTGAAAAAATGTTAGCTTATTTTGGCATATTTTTCTCATATTGCTAAAACTTAAAATCTGGAGAAACCAGAAATGGCAAGCTGTCTTGTTTGTCTTGGAAGTGAAACGATGTTTTATTGAATGGAGCTCTTTAATGTGTTTTCAGAGCTATAATGACTCAGTTCAATGAAAACAGCTAGGTTAGGACAGAATCAAGTTCAAGAGGACTATTTTTATTAGGGAAGGGAGGCAGAAGCTGTTGGGAAAATATCATAACGAAGAAATAGTCGACACTTGAATTAAAGTGTTTTTCTATGTTTATATGTTGTGGTGGGTTGACCTCAACTGGCAGCTAAGCCAACACCCAGTCACGTGCTCACTTTCATCCAGCGGGTTGAGGGAGAGATTCAGAAGGGGAAAAGAGAAAAAAAACAACTCATGGGTCTAGATCGAGGCAGTTTAATAAATGAGGAAAAAAAAAAAGATAAAGAAACAAGTGATTCAAAAACAATTGCTTACCATCAGCAGACTGATGCCCAGCCAGTCTCTGAGCAGTGGCTACTTTGGAGAAACTTCCCCCCAGTTTTGTTGCTGAGCATGACATTATCACTGCAGGGGTTGTGAACTAGATGACCTTTAAAGGTCCCTTCCAACTCAAACTATTCTGTGATTTGAAGGCATGGAGTATCCCTTTGGTCAGTCTGAGTCAACTGTCCCAGTTGTGCTTCAACAGTGGTATTCTTCGTGGTGATGAGGAATTGGTGGCAGCGTATACTTCATGGTTGCTGTTAATGAATTCATCTTGTACTGCCTTCTGTTCATGGCTTCCTTGCAGAGTGAGATAAATCATTTGAACTGTCATGAGCTTCGATATGCGAGTAATATAGCAAGTAGTAGTGCCAGTTCCATGGTTCTAACTGACTATGTGACAGTAATTGTAAAAGCTGAGTTTTATCTCACTAGTAAAAAATTAGTCCTCTTTTTACTGATAATAGTTTCTGAGACATTTTGTGGAACATAATTTTAAAAAAAGAAATTATACTTGAATTAAAATATCATTGTTATGTTGAGAGCTTCACTTTTATAACATGATCTTGAGTTTTTTAGAAATTCTTTTTCACTATCAAAAACGTATAGTGTGCTATGAAACATGAAGATATAGTTCTAGCTTTTCTCTACTGGCTAAACACTTTCTTGTTTGCTTCCAGCTGAGTCACTTTCACAAGCCATAGCAATACCATTATAGTGAGATGAGTTCTTGAAGCTTGGAACTAGTAAAAAGTAATAAACAAGCATATGATATTTAATTATAAAACATCATGTCTTTTCTTAGAAAGATGATGTTAAGAAGTTACTCAAAGGTCTGTCTGTACACTGAGAAATATTTAACAAAATGTTTTACAGAAAAGCTTTTGGCTATTGTAAGCATTTAAAAACACAAGTCACCATCATCATAAAAAGGCAACTATTCTGAGAGGCAAGTGAAAACGGTGTGTGACTATGAAAGATATTGCTAGCAATAGTGTTTCTAAAATTCTTGGGTTTTCCTTAAAATGATGCTTTAACCCTAAGAAGAACTAAAAAAAAGAGGTGGTTTATCTTTTATTTTTCTGAATACATATCTGAATACCAAATATCCCTTCTTTTTCCAAAGTTTTTGTGTAGACACAAAACCTTTACAAAGAGTATAGTCTTCTGCTGAAGATAGATTATTTTTTTTTAAAGCATCAAAATATCTTGTGCACTGAAATAATAGCAATTTGGTTTTCTGTCACTATCTATAGGTGGAGGAAGCTGGACTTGTTTGTCATCCTCCTTGGAAACTGAAAGTTATTCAACTTTTTGAAATCCAGAGAGTAAGGCATGGATTGATGACACTAGGACCTAGCGGTGCAGGAAAAACTGTTTGCATCCACACTTTAATGAAAGCCATGACAGGTATGTGAGTATTTCTATTGTAAACTGTTATTAAACTGTCATATTGTAAACTTTAAACCATGCTGTTTCTTCATAGAAAGCCTCAATTACTTCACTGTGAGAATATATTACTGGAAGAATCAGTTTGTGTGTTGTGATACTAATTATTGTGGGTAGTATCTTTTAAAAGCTTAAAAATGTCTGACATTGAAAGTCATATGATACATTCTGTACTATGATACTTATATCAGAAGTTCTTATTCTAGAAACATTGATAAAGAGGAGTACTGTCTGGGTAGACAGCTCGAACAAGTGATTAAATCATCTCCCAGGTTTGGCTGAGGTAATGCTGAAACCTTCCCCTAATCATAAGTATTTAGTCCTTTTTGAACACAATTCACAAGACAGTGTGTTTATCTGCAGTATAAAATAACTCGTTCTATCATTTGTTGCTGCTAGGAGACAGTTCCTGGTTTAGGAAGTGCCAAAATCTTCATTTTGTGTCATGGCTGGATGCTTGAGGAGTGTGTGATTTTGTCCTCTGTATTTCTAAATAAAAATATTAGTGGAGGACCTTCTGATTGATCTTATTAAACTAAAAGCTCATAGCTGGGCGAGAAAAAAACATCACTTTTGATCAGCTTATGTTACCCCATTTCACAGGCTTCCGTAGGCTGCTTATACAGTTTTCTAGAAATGGATAGTTTCTGCGAAAAATGGTTCAGCCAGTCTCTCATCCATGCAGTACCTTAGTGTGCTTAAGAAACACTGTAAGCTCTACATGGCAGTGTAAAAAACTATTCCGTTTAGGAAAAAAACAGAAAGAACAGATAGCTGCATTATACTATTTTCCTATATTTCTGTAGCACTGAGATGTGAACTACTACCAAGATAAAGCCGCTGCAATACTTTTTTCAACCTGATCTTCTGTCATAACTTCATGAAATGTAAAACTATGTGATTTGCCAGGCTTCTATCTTACATGTGTTGTGGTTTAACCCCTGTGGGCAACTAAGCACCATACAGCTGCTTGCTCACCCCCTCTCCCTGGTGGGATGGGGGAGAGAATCGGAAGGGTAAAAGTGAGGAAACTCATGGATTGAGATAAATTTAATAATGGAAACAAACTAACAATGACAATAATAATACAAAAAAGGGAAATAACAAAAAGAGAGAGAAATAAAACCCAAGAAAAACAAGTGATGCAAATGAAAAACAATTGCTCACCACCTGCTGACCAATGCCCCGCCAGTCCCTGAGCACTGATCACTGCCCCCATCCGACTCCTCCCTCCATCAGCTGGCCATGATGTCATATGGTATGGAATATCCCTTTGGCCGGTTTGGGTCAGCTGTCCCGGCTGTGCACCCTCCCAGCTTCTTGTGCACCTCTAGCTTTCTCACTGGCAGGGTATGAGAAGCTGAACTGTCCTTGATTTAGTGTAAACACTGCTTAGCAACAACTAAAACATCAGTGTTATCAACATTATTCTCATACTAAATCAAAAACAGAGCACTATGCCAGCTACTAGGAAGAAAATTAACTCTATCCCAGCCAAAACCAGGACAACATGTTAGTGAAGTTTTATTACAATTAAGATTTTAAGCCTTTTTTTTAGCTCTTTCTTTCAACATCATAATACTGGCTCCTGGTTAAGTTTTATTATTGGGTTTTCTAAGCATGTCTGGCATAGGAGTTTTTAAGCTGTTGTTAATGAAGAAAATATAAAGGTTATTATGATCATGGTATCACTGGACAGAGTTTAGCTGCCTAAGAGTCTTCACAGGGATATGCCAATATCATATACCTTGCCTATTCTGAGATGTATGCAAGTGCACAATGGGGAAAAGCAAAAAAACCAATCAATTGTGGAGCATCTGTCTGGTATTTAGTCACTGGGTTTTAAAAAAGTGCATCCAAACCAAAGGCTTTAAAGCTCTATTGCTTGATAAGCCTTCGAAATGTTAAACTAAACCTTGAATAAATTTCATCTTGCTGGTCGTCTGTTCCTGATGAATCTATGAAATGTGAACTATACTTTCAAAAGTTTCAGAACTTCGTTCTACTTTAAATTTTGCTGGCTCCAATTAACAAATATTGATATATAGCAAGAGATAGGTTTTCCAGTTAGATGCACAACTTGTTATAATAGTGAATGCATATTAAACCATACATTTGGGTGTAATGATGTTGAATTTGTTAAAGTTCTCTGAGTGTTTAAAAGAAATACCAAAACTAACTGATGATCTGCCTTCACAGATTGTGGACAGCCACATCGTGAAATGAGAATGAATCCTAAAGCTATAACTGCTCCACAAATGTTTGGTCGTCTCGATGTGGCAACAAACGATTGGACAGATGGAATATTTTCAACACTCTGGAGAAAAACTTTAAGAGCCAAGAAAGGTATAATGAAAAACAATTCCCTCCAAAAAACCCCAAGCTGCAGGACATCTCTCTAAAGGACATTAGCAGACTCTTTTTTCAAGAACTTCTGTCTATTGTATATTCACTGTTCTAAATGCTTTGTGTTCAGACTGTGTAGTGTAGCAAATACTGTTTGACTGAATTTGCTGATCCCTCTTTCAAATGATAGGCCCTTGTATGGAAGAAAAGTGGAAGGTAAGAGTCAGTTTACCCAACACTGGTATACTATAAAAAATTTTGGTGGTGTCAGGATTTCTACCTGGTCTCCAGCTGCCATACTAGGAGGGTGTGAATCTCCTTTGTGTCATACCTGCTAGCACTGCACATACCATAGTCCATCTCAAATAGGCAACCAATTTCTGCCTAGAATAATGCTGGCATGCATTCTAAGACTACTGAATAAACTAAAAGAGGCCTTGATGGTATGATGCTAGATGGATTCTTCCTTCTTTTGTCTGAATATAAATATGTGACCTTATCATTGTCAGTTTTCATTAAAAAAATCTTAGTCTTTACGGATACAGATACTTTTAAAATAGAAAATACTTTTGGATTTAATTTTGTTGGTTTTGTTTCAAATCTAGAAACGTAGCACCCATGAGAATGTAGCATAGCATTAACTGTTGATTTTTCTATTTTTCCCCTCAACGTAAAATATAAATTAGCACACTCGCATGACTTCCTCAGATTCACTGTTTGCAATACTTCTGTAATGTCTCTTTATGAAGCAAACTCCAGATCATCTCATGCCTGAGATGCCTGCACTCAAGCTATGAAAAGCCTCTAAATATAAAACTATTTGCCTCCAGAGGTGAGAAAGTTTCTCATCTGGAACCTTCTTGGTTCATACCTAACAACACACCAAGTCACCTAGACCTAGATAGTAAGGACTTGTTCTGAAGGCAGATGACACTTGGACCATCTCTGACTAAAGGTCTCCCTAGCAATGCACAGCAGGACCAGGTACTTCCTAAGGGATGGGGACCCAGAAGCCAAGTGGTGGTGGGGAATCCCTTTCCAGCCAGAGCCTGTTGCTCAGTACCCAAGTGAGGCGAGCAGGATAGACCCAGACCCTCCTAGGAAACAGAGGCAGTTTTTAAGATACATTCCTCTTACTAAATGGAAAGAGCTGAAAAAACTTCAAAGGGAGCTGGATCAAGTTTACAAGTAGAGTTTTCCCTAATGGACCTCTTTTACTTATGACAGTGAGCATGCTATTTGAGAGAGTGATTTTTCAAGTGTTCCTTTCATTTAATCTCACTACGTTTACACAAACTCTTTGGAAACAAATGAATGGTGATTTTAAGTAGATCTGTAGTTTCTATCTTCTTTATGTTGTTTTATGTAAGTTGAAATAAACCTAATTTATTACTACATTGAAGACTGGATCCATAAAATTGTTTCAGACTATTACAGACTCATGACTTATGCTGATGACACTTTATATACTGAGCAATGGCTAATTATTATCAATAGGTGATGAAATGAAGTACTTAATTGAAATTGAGTGATGGAAACAGTAATTGTATTAAAAGCTGAGATTCTAGCTGTGTGCATGAATTCGGAAGTAGTTCAAAATTTGTTTGCAGAGAGAAGAAACTGGTCCTTGAAAGAAAGTGGAACTTTCTCCATAGGCATTTTTATCTGTAATTTTGGATTATAGGTGACCACATCTGGATAGTTCTTGATGGTCCAGTTGATGCTATTTGGATTGAGAACCTTAATTCTGTCCTGGATGATAACAAAACTCTAACACTAGCAAATGGAGATCGGATACCTATGGCACCAAATTGCAAAATAGTCTTTGAACCTCATAATATTGATAATGCTTCTCCAGCAACAGTTTCAAGGAATGGGATGGTATTCATGAGCTCATCAGTTCTCAACTGGAGCCCGATCCTTGAGGTACAATAGCTAAGTGATTGTTTATATAGTCAAAGTTTTACTGGTTACTTATTCAACACTTCACTGTTGCTACTTTAGGACCTAATTTTGTCACTTTTGCTATGAAATAGCTTTTACACTGTATAAACTTATAGGTCAGTATTTAATATAGTAATGTTTCTGGTAGTATATACAAGAATGAATAATGTAACTTTTTTAGGAACGTAGTCAACATATTACGCTTTTAAAAACATGGATATTTCACTTTGGCACAAATTTGTAATTCAAGGTATTTTATACAATTGAAGAACAACTTGATTATCAAAATACCAACTACCTGGCAGCCCCTAATACAGCTTCAGACCAAGGAAGAAGAAAGAGTAAACAGGCTGATTCAGGAATCTAGAAATCCTCAAGAAAATATAAGTTCTCTTGATATTTCTTTAAATTAACTGCAGCTGGGATTTAGAACTAGAAATAAAGTCAGTGCAACATCAAAGTATGTAATTTTTAAATTGATGTTCTTACCTGGTTAAGTTGCCTGTTAACATTTCTAGAAGCAAAATGTGTGAAGAACCAAGCAGTGGTTACTCTCTCTGGCATGGAATGAATAATTTAGAAAACCAGAACATGTTATAGGTGTGTTTTGGAGGGAAGAACACCATACAACATATTCAGATTTCAAAGTGATTTATAAAGCAAGTTTTTTCTTATATACATCATCTTTCATCTTCAAAAAAATAGAAAAAATAAATCCTTTTCTTGACTGAATGCTGGTAATGATATAGTGAATGATACATTTAAAGACTTGAGCATACTATGATTTTTTTCATGTAGCAAATATCTTGGTAAAAATGAAATATAAGAGTTCCCAAAAATCTACCTAGTGTTCCGTAGGAATATCTTTCAACAAAACTTTCAGCATTTCATTCCATTTTTTCTTCTAATTTTAAGAAAATAATGGAGACAAAAATAATAAAAAAGTTGGTTTCTGATTTTTTTTTAAATTAATTCTTAAGCCCTATGTTGCTTAGAAATTTATTGGTGAAGTAGGCTCCTCAGGATTAAGGCTTCTAAAAAATTTAAAAGAAATATTAATTTATTTTATCTTTATTTTTTTTGTCTACTCAGTCTTATTGAGAATATTTTGTTGACATTATTTTGCTTTGATGAAACGTGGACCGTCTCATGAGTGTCAAAAATTAAATCTTTCTTCCTTGTGGCTAAGACACTGATTCCTGTGATCATAGAATTACTTTTTTTACTGTCTCCTGAAAAACAATTTAATATACCTTTCTTCTGATTAATCCCAAATTAACATTCCTTTATATGGCTTTAAACTTTAATTTTAATCTAGGAATAATTTAGTCTTCCTGTTTATGAAATTAGAACATCATACAGGCCCTTGTAGCGTATTTGTCCCCATTTGCAGACTCAAAAGAACAAAACTTCACAGGTTACTATGAGCTGACAGACTGAATTTAACTTTCTAGAAAGTATCACATTAACAAGTCTGTGGCACTGCCTAGAACAACTGTCCTTAGCATATTAGAAGTTTCAGCACAGGCAGAACTCAAGAAAGCAACAGTACGGTGCTGTCCAAGCGCTGAGTGGCAGGCAGTGCCTGCTGCCTCTTCCTGGGGCTGGAGACAGTGGAGCCTCTGGGCAAAGTGTGCCCTGATCACTGCGTTATCAGTTGAAGGAGCTGTGGGTAGGCGTGAGAAGACTTGTGTGCCTTCAGGGAAGATAAACAGATCAGCAGGATCATTGCAGAGACACTGCAGACTCAAGATCCCTCGCCCTGTAATGGAGAGTGAGTGAGAGACTGCCTTCAAAGCTTTGGTGAACAGAAACTATCAAGATGAAGGTGGCTGTACACTTGTGATTTCTGGCAACAGAAGGGAGGTTTCTTTTCCACCTGCAGATCTGAAATAGCAGGTCAGGTATAATGCCCTGAGAATCGGTGAGGGGCAACAAGGCCCACTAGGGAAGGCATTGGAACCCAGCTTAGCCTTAACCAATTAAGAGGAAAAAGTGTGGTTGTCTTCAGAGACACCCAAGTGCTGTGACTGGTTGCCTATGGAGGTTTGCTGCATGTGAAGGACTAAGGGTTGCTACAGAGAGTTGTTACCATATTTCTCTAGTAGTGCCTAGAGCCTTTCCCTTTTAGAATGATATTCAAATTATATGGAGCTGGCTGTTCAATTACATCTACTTAGCAACACTCGAGAATCATCACTAATCTATTTGATCAGTTTCTTTGTCAAGTCCAATATGTTTGCATTCTTATTAGGAAAAAAAAAAAAAGGTGTTTAATAAATTTCCTAAAAATTTGGCTGTTACTGAAGTTTTACCAATGCAAATACATGAAGTCAACACAAGTGCCTTATGTGTATTACTGCAAGGCTTTAATTTTTTTTTTTAAAAACTAATATGGATACTTGGGAAAGTGTAAATGTAAATTCTGCATTTAGGACAGTGGTTCCCATGAGATTCCACTTGTCTTGTTCCTTTCTGTACTTGTAGCACTGCATAGAGCCTACTGATGTTAAGTTCTCACAGCTCTGCCTTCTTGCGTTGGTTAATTTGCAGACAACAACTTCTTGAATGTTTCATTTTAAGTTGAGCTATAGGTTCAGCTGCAAAGACAGCAAAACCAAAGAAAAGCATTTTATTTTGCCTTATTAGTCATGATTTACCTCCTCACTTTATAGTGATATGCAGACTTAATTTAGTTGTGTTGAAGTAAGTGTTGCATGAAAGTAGTTTCACTTAATCCATGACCTTATGCTTTTACTTTATTTCAGTGGTAGGAACAGTCAAAAAGAAAACAAGAACATGTGGGGTTTTTTTGGTTTTGAATAACACAAAACAAATTACGTTCATTTCAGCCATGAAACAACCCTTCCAAACTCCCTTCCTCTTGCTGCTCCCCCCCCCCCAAAAAATAATTGGCTATAAAATTGCAACCTATAGTTATTTATCATTTGAGCCAATAGCATTTATTTGTGGGGTTTGTTTGTTTGATTTGGTTTTATTTCATAAATAAAATATCTTGATGGCTCTTTCACTACATCTTTTAAATCTATTTTGTAGTGCAATGTACTATATATTCCAGCAGATCAGAGTAGATGTTAATCTCACATTGTTCACTCTATTACTTTTGTAATAAATTTAAATGGAGTTTTCTTTCTTTAATTCTTAATTCTCAGATACTGAATGAAACATAGTAATTGTTGATAGTTCAGAAGAACTCTGAAAAATAATTAAACCCAAATATGAATAGCTCAGGAAGTTGTATATATTTAGATTTCCCATCCCTACAATTTACAAACAAATAAATATAGCAGCCCATACGGATACAATATCATGACATAAGCAATGTCCAAATTCAGTGAAGTAGATCTCAAACTTTTCATATTGCTGTTCTTGTTTAACATGCTGCTTAAGCAGCTTTTGCAAAGTGATCAAAGGTATTTCACCCATTACTCATCAACCTCCTCCAAAGGAAAAACATCTTACCAATTTTTTCTACTTACCCCATATGTTTTCTAAACAGCTGGTGAAGCTCCGGGTATCTATTTTAAGTAGTTCTGCCATTTAATCTTTAGCACTTTGTTTTCCACCTACCTGTTTTTAGAAAGCTTTTTCATATATCTGCCTGTTTGTAATCAGTCCCAGAGTTTATTTACTTCGGGCAGTTCAAGATAGAATTTAGAATTTCAAAAGATTATGAAGTGTAGAAAAGAATCACAGAAGCATGAAATAGTTGAGGTTGGGAGGGATCTCTGGAGAGTGTGTAGTTGAACACACCTCACTCAAAGCAGAGTCAACTAGAGTAGGTTGCTCAGGACTGTGTCCTGTTGAGTTTTGAGATGGAGACTCCAGAAGCTCACCGAGAAGCCTGTTTCAGTGTTTGACCACCCTCACAACAACAGAAAGCTTTTTCTTATGTTTAAATGGAATTTATTTAATTTCAATTTGTGCCAAATCTGTTTGAATTTTGAATCTGCAAGTATTTTTGCTGATGAGTGTATTTTATATGTGGGAAATAAATTCATGGGATGCAAATGAGAAGCATTCTGGCACACAGATGAGAGCAAGCTTCTGGGTAACTCAAAGAAGCAGGTTACTACTTTGAGCTAGAAGCATAAAGGATCAAATCCTGTTCTCTGATCTTGAGAAATAGGTAGTTTTAATTAGATTTTTTTAATCAAGCAGTATAGATACTTACATGCACAATAAAAACACTACACACATCAGCAGACATCCCCCTCCAAAATCCTGACTTTTTTTCTGCAGCTACCACAGTTTTTTGGGGTACCCTGTGTCACTGCTAGAAACTAACATTGTGCAGAATAAATAAAACCTGTGTTCAGTTTTTATACGTGTCATATTCTTTCTTTGCAGAATTGTTGTGTACCTTAAACAGCCCTTGTGATTAAAAAATATTTGAAGAGAATGATTTTTTTGCTGTTGAAACCTTTAAAGTGCTTTTTTTTTTTTTTTTTTTTCTTCTGTATCCATGTTTAACATCCAGTAGGAATTATGCATACTTGGGTAAAGTTTGACCTTCTGCTAGCCAAACCCTGCCCAACAGTAGGGAATCTGAGTACCCCCAAAAGAAATCAACTTTCCATGCTCGCTGGACCTTTTGAATTGCTAGAGTTTAATTTACTGAGAGTTGCATTGGGAACTAAACTTATTTTCTTGCCATGGTTTGTAACAGGGATTTTTGAAAAGACGTTCCTTCCAAGAAGCTGAAATTCTACGTCAACTGTATTCTTCATCATTCCCAGACTTATACCGCTTCAGCATTCAGTCTCTGCAATGCAAGACGGAGATGTTGGAAGCCTTTGTGATAATGCAGAGCATTAATATGCTGCAGGGCCTTATCCCACCTAAGGTAAAGTAGTGTGGATTTTTTTAAAATATTTACTTAATTTTAAGTCATGAGAGGAGATTCTTTGGTGATTTAGAATATAAATGAAGATGCAGTTCAGTAAGGAATACCTTCCTTTTCTTTAGAAAATAATAGCTAGGGTGTGCACTCTTTCACATTTGGATTTGATGTTAAGCTCTGACATGTAGCATGCATCAGACAGCAGTTTTTCTTTTTTTTTTTTTTTTGGGGGGTGTGTGAATTGTTATCAGATTATAAACTAGACCTTAAACTTATCAAATGCCCCAGTGGATGATTAAAAGTGGTATTTACAGGGTGCTTTTCTATGTTTTGTTGTCTACTTGATACAGATTCAGTCTGTTCATTGACAAAGATATCAGTAAATTTAAACATGACTGAAGGCTTGTAAGCTGATGTTACTAATGATTATCAAGTAGAATTTTCAGGCTATTAAAAATAAAAGTCTAACTCAATCCTTCAGGAGCAAGGAGGGGAATTGACTCCAAAGTACTTGGAAAGGCTGTACATCTTCTCTCTTATGTGGAGTGTAGGAGCATTACTAGAACTGGAAGACAGATGCAAAATGGAGCACTGGCTTCGAAACCATGCAACAATAAAACTTGATCTTCCATGTATCCCAGAAGGCAGTGAAGATACCATGTTTGATTATTATGTGACATCTGACGGTTAGTAACCCAGCTGGGTGGTATGGGGTAAAATTTAAAAGTAATTGTAAAATTGTGCTTCTTTTAGAGAATTAATTCAGAAGTCTTTTGTAGCTTGCCTTATTTTGTGTTTCTTAGCGAGTTTTGTTTTACAGCTACGCTTTACAGGTGATGTTGCATAAAGCTTTTGCCCAGTTTCCAGTGAGAAATCAGAATGTGGATATATTGCTACAGAAAGCTGCATGGACTTTGTGCTGATGAATTGTCAAGTGAACAAAACCATACAAGCCTTTTCCTTGTCATTATTTATGTGGGAAAGAGGAATAAGCCTCTTAGATCTAACTTGAGAGATTCTATCATTATATGATTCTATAATTTTGGTCTGAATTTACAGAGTGGGATTACTGTATGTGGGACAGAGGCACTGACAGATGAGCTAACTCAATGGAAAATGAAAGAAGCAACGATGCCTTGTATTGCTAAAACGTTAACTTAATTTCTTTCTTATTAGGTAAATGGACGCACTGGAATACACGTGTTGAAGAGTATGTATATCCCAGTAGCAGCACTCCAGAGTATGGCTCTATTCTTGTGCCTAATGTTGACAATGTGAGAATGGATTTCCTTATTGAAACCATTGCGAAACAGGGCAAGGTACGTTTTCTGTATTTCACATCTAAATCATTCTAACAGTACGCATAATAAAGTTTTTGAATTAGAAGTGAAATATTATATTATTGAAAAGGAAGAACTTTTTTTAATATAAAATGGTGATTCCAAGAGTTACATTCATGTGAATATGCTTGAACTTTTGCATACTCACTGCTTCTAGTCTTTTTTGTCTTCCTCTCAGCCATCCTTTCTGTAGTGGAAATAACTGTAATTACAGCTGAGATCAGGTCAGAACAGAAGCAATTTTTTCATGTAGCTGTTGGAGAGGGGGCAGCACACAGGGCAGCAGAGTGCCAGGCTCCGCTGATATGAACTTTGCCCACATGGGGCAGTTACAGAGTTTATGTACCTTTTAGGTTATGCAACCTGTTCTTCACCAAAACCGTGTCAGATAAGCAAGATATGGTAAATAACAACAGCAACTGAAATCTTGCAGATACTGAGGCTCTACATGAGACTCCTTTTCCAAGTAATCAACTCCTTTTACAAATGATCCATCCCTTTGTTAGGTAAATCGCACTGACTGACATGACCATTAACTGCAAATATTTCTAACTTGTGAGGCCTGAAAAAGTCTATGAGACATTAATTATTTTGCTTCCACATGTCCCTTGTTGAGAATTCACTTTACATAACTTTTTTAGTTTCATTTCAGTTTAAAAGCTAAATGGGATTGCTGAGGCTTTGCCAAGACACCTAGCTCTTGTATTTCGTCTTATCTCAGTGTTGTCTTTGTCTAGGCTGTCCTACTAATTGGTGAGCAAGGAACTGCAAAGACTGTTATTATCAAAGGTTTCATGTCAAAATATAACCCTGAAAGCCACATAACTAAGAGTTTGAATTTTTCATCTGCAACTACCCCATTAATTTTCCAGGTATAGTAGTCATTCACTTTCTAATATGACATAACTGGATGCAGAGATTGTTCTGAGAATTTTCCAGGAGGATGCTTCTGAAAGTGGTTTACTTAATTGAAAATGAGTGTAGCAACAAAAAAGCACCTGCTCAAAAGGACTAAGTGTCCTAACACAGGATTTAAAAGACTTCTCTAAAAACCATGTTCCCTTCAACTTCTTTGGTGGTTATTGAGCTGTTGTTGGACTATTGCAATACCATGCATATTATTTGCTTCATTACATTTAATGTTTTTATGTGAAATGTATCAGTTCTCAGTAATTGGGTAGAGCTGTCAGTGACTTCCCTCAGATTTCATTAAAAGCCACGAGTAAAATAAGTGCTACCCACAACAATCTGTCATAAAAAGTGTGCTGTCTGCAATTTAAATTTCAGTAAATTAAATTACTCATTAAAAAAGTAACACATGCAGTGCAGCTGCTTTAAATAGAACTATGAATGCTTAAATCCTGAAATGTACTGCCTTTCCAAATTTCTACTGAGCTACTTTGAATTATTTCGATTTTCTTTAGCCTGCTGGCAATATATATGGGAAATATTTTAATGCGTTTTAGTATGCCAAGCCAAAGCAGTGTCTGTGCTGTAATCAGAAGTGCAGTCTATAAGCTTGATGCATCATCTATCATCTGGCTCTATAGCATAGTAGAAACTATTAACATGTTTAATGTGCAAGTATGTAACTGTGGTCTTATTTTCATTAATATTTTTTCTTTTATTGATGTGGTATAGAAACAAAAAGTAGTGTTGGTACATCTAGTTTTATAAACTAGATGTCAAGTTTATTGGTGAGGGATGATAGTCTGTTGATGATCAACACTTGTGAAATAGATGTGCAAGTCTAACAGTCAATTTTCTGATAACAATCTAGACCAAAGCATTGCCTGTTACATCACACTTGCTTTTAAATTACTCTGACTTTCTAAGATCTTGGTCTAACTGATGCCACTTGTATAAGAAGGCTTTCCAGGCTACTGTACAGGAGCTTAGGCACGATATAAGAATACAGATATTTAGATTTATGCTAAAGAATAACTATGCATGGTTAAGTGAGCTTTCACTTGGTATAGAATAAATAAAAACTGGACCTTAGCAAAAATGGAGCAATGGAAAGATGATGGGAAGAAAAGTAGTGGTAAGTATACTAATAAGCAAAGTTACTTCATCAAGTCTATGTATGTGAGTTTATCACTGTATACTTTTATGAAGTACATTGATGTCTGCTGGGAAGGTCTTCAAGAATCACATATTTCAGATCTGACAGATTACTAGTTTAATCTTTATTGTTAGTAATCATCAATTTTGCTGATAAATGAATAAAATGAAAGAAAAGTTTGAAATGGTTTCAAACTTATGAAACTGTTAGGCATGGTTGGCTACACAAAACATCTGTTATATCTGATACCAACGTAATGCTGTATAACATGAGATTTCAGACATTCTAGTTGAACTAGTGCAATTACCTCCAGCAGATGCGTTGTCTAAACCTTCCTTAGTAAAGTTCCATCTAATAAAACCATCAATATGTTTAAATGGTTGAATCATGCATGAAAGGAAGGGCTCTTTGTAACTTTGCCAATAATTGCTTTTTAACAGCGTACAATAGAAAGTTACGTGGACAAGCGAATGGGCACAACTTATGGTCCACCTGCAGGCAAAAAGATGACAGTCTTCATTGATGATGTGAATATGCCCATAATAAATGAATGGGGAGATCAGGTTAGTTTCTGAAAGAGGAAAAAAGAAGACAAAAGATATTTTCTTTCTTTCCTTGCTACACTGTAAAACTGGCCTCTCTTCTTGATCAGGCAGTAGGGGGAAAATTTGATATGTGGTGCTTAATTTTTAAACAGTCTTTTTAAAGAACCCATCTAGTTTTGTATTGTCATTAATTAATTGAAAATTAACATACTGACTGCAAGAAGCAGATAGAGTACTCCTTAAAACACGCCTGTATAATTTAAAAAATGTTTTTACCAACACTCATTTTTTAATTAAAACCACAAAAATTAAACCCCCAAATTATTAGAAAAAAAATCTTTGGCACAAATTGTGATAGCAAACTGGCTGTGTGGACAATAATTAAAATACTGTGAATACTGAGAGGTAAGAGGTGACTTCTCTGCTTTAGAAAAAATGTAAGTAATCATTATGTGCATTGGTAAGATCTTCGGAAGTGTATTGCTTTGGAAACTATTAGAATTTCTAGAGAAATACAGTTGTATAATGTACTGTCTGTGGGATGTTTTCAGCTGGTTAAGCAGAAAAGCAAAGTGTCCATTTGTGGCTAAGGACAGGGAATCTTTCTTTTGTATGGAAGTAATTTTATGTTTGCAGCTTGAAAAAATATGTTTGTGGTTGTGACACATGGAAATTTAATGAAAATGTTTGGTAGCACATGCAACATGTGAAGATACATCACTTTGGGCTTGATCAAAACAAACTGGAAATTTTGTGTTAAAAGGGAGAAGTATTTCCAATACAACAGGATTGGAAATCATGCAGCATTCAAGTGAGAATGAATTGAAGTGTGAAGGATTAATTCTAAGCTATTAATTCCCCTATAGTCCCAGGATTTTTGTCCATAGATGTTACCAATGAAAAGGACAATCTAAATATACTTATTCCTAGCAGTGCATTTTTCTCCTAAAGCACATAAACAGGGGTTTTGGGGAGAAAATAAAGGTATACTCTTTATTAGGTCTTTCAAGTACCTAAGCACATTTTGTATTTCATTTATTGTGTGTCTAATATCCTGTTACATAATACCTGGGTTTTTTACAGGTCACTAATGAGATAGTTAGGCAGCTGATGGAACAGAATGGACTGTATAACCTGGAAAAGCCTGGTGAATTTACCAACATTGTGGACATTCAGTTTTTGGCTGCCATGATCCACCCTGGGGGAGGTCGCAATGACATTCCACAGAGGCTCAAGAGACAATTTTCTGTATTCAACTGTACTCTGCCTTCTAATTCTTCCATTGACAAAATTTTCGGTAAAGGGAAATTAGCTTTGTATCCATCTCATTTTTGAAAATGGTAGTTGATTTTTCTTTATTTCCCCGTTTATAAATATTATAATTAAAATTGAGGCTTGATCCCACTCAATTTGCTTACCAGCACATTTTCCTTCAGTAATCACTCCCCACCTACAACTTCATCAATCTGTATGTTTTTTTCAGGTCCAGTCATCTCTCTGAATATATCGGTATACTGTTAGGAAGAATGGCATGAAGACTATTCCTATTTTTAGTGACAATGCTGGAGAGTTGCTAAGGTGCTACTAGTGCTAAGAATTAGTGATTAATGACTAGACTTTCACAAATGACAGGATTGTATTGGTCTCAGAAAATATATTAGCTATTCAAAGGCTATGGAAGCTGTTTTGGTAGACAGAAGAACATTTTTAACAGACTTAATTAAGAACTAAATACCCAGTGAGCAGGTGGCAGAATGGTGTTAAGACCAGGTGAATCAAGATTTGAATAAAGACTGGAAAGCCATTTCAACAAATTAGAAAAGGGTTTGGGGATTAGAAAAAGAAAAATAAACTTAAGAAGATCATAGCTCTTTGTGTTGCCCTAGTGTGTTTTAGAAAAATCTTTCATTTGGCTATCATTTATTTTTACAGGTGTAATTGGAGAGGGGCACTATTGTAGCGAGCGAGGATTTTCAGAAGATGTGAAGAAAACAGTAGCCAAATTAGTTCCACTGACACGCAAGCTGTGGCAGATTACCAAGCTAAAAATGTTGCCCACACCAGCCAAGTTCCATTATGTCTTCAACCTTCGAGACCTTTCAAGGATTTGGCAAGGAATGCTGAACACTACATCAGAAGTGATCAATGAACCAAAGGTAAGTGCAACACACCAGTGGCTTTTTTTATAAATAGTGTATAATTAGTGTAGCAAAGAGAATGAAGAGTCTAACTTCTTGGCATTTGAGTTTGCTTTAGAGAAATGGCATTTCTGATTAAAAAAGTTTTACAGCATTTTTTTGAGGCAAAGATGTTTTAGTCCAGCTTTTACAGTGCCAACAGAAATGACAACTTTGTTTCATAACTATAACAAAAAATGCTTCTTTTGTCAGAAGAGGGATTGCTTCTATCTGCTTGTTTTATTACTGACAAATGCTAGTTTGTTTGAAAGAAGTGAGCAAAGAAAATTATGAGAAGTGATGAACTTATTTTAACCCAATGATAATGCATATATATTGATTAAAAAAATAAACAGTTCCTTTCTCTTCACTACTGTCTTGAGGCTTTCAGTCACTGCCTAATATCTGTCTAACAAATGATTTCTGGCTTACAGCTTAAAAGGAAGAAGTAGTAATGAGCCATAGTGATTTTTTTTTTTTTTTCATAATCCACCTTTCTTCCCGAAAAGCTCAATACTTTATGCATCATTTATCTTTCAATTATTTTAACAAAAAGTTATTTAGTGTTTTGAGCACTGAAACATGAAGTGCTAGAAAAGTAATGTTTATGGTAGTCATGGAAAATTTGTTATGTGTTTTGGTTATATAATCACTTCATGTTTAATGTACTTCCCTGCTTGTTGAATAAGGTCCTGAATTCTACTACATCTAAAATTTAGATTTTAGAATTGATTTTAATTTCTGAAGCTAAAAATATACAGCACTAAGATGATTATATAGTCTCAACTAATGTCTTTTGAAGTATAACAAACAATTGCTCAAAATCTGACTGTATAAATGTACATATTCATTCTGAAACTTGACATGGTATGTGCTATTTGTCCAAAGTGCTATAGGCTCAAACAAGAGGTCTTTAAGGAGTACTTGGAATTTTTTATTAAAATTGTATTAAAAACAGTGCTGCTAGGATGAAGAACCTGTCAGATTTTCCTTCTCCATCCTATTACCAAACTGAAGGACTTTAAAGCTATGTTGAATTTGGAGATGGAGTAATATAAACACACTTTTTTTTTCTCTAGCTACTTTTACTATAGTATTAGGATATAGTATCATCTGTGTTTGGCAGGAAATTATTCATGCCATGCTGCTATTATTTCCACCCAGATTCTATTGATTACCAGTTAAAAAAGTGGTTTATCAGTGCATAAACATGTGTTAACAGGTATGGATATGGTTTAGGGCTAGGGAAATAAAATCTTAATTCAGTAAATACGTTGCAGTTTGGAATGCTATATTAAGGCTTCTTACACCGTTAACTGAATGTAAGCTTAAAATGCTATTGGGCAGAATGAGAAGCTCAAGGTATCTCTCCTGAATAACTCCCCAAATGCTACTGTTTATTTTCTAGTGTTAATATGATATTTTAAAATAAATAAAAGCATGACTTTTAAATTAGCATAGTTTTGTTGCAAGCCTAATCTGACTGAAATGCTTGTTGGTGTGGGGATTTTTTGGGGGTGTTTTTTGTTTTTTTTTTGTTTTTTTTTAAATAGGTACTGATAAAACTGTGGAAGCATGAATGTAAGTGTGTTATTGCCGATCGTTTCACAACCTCAGAAGATGTAAACTGGTTTAACACAGTTGTGGCAAAACTCATTGAGGAGAAATTTGAAGAAACAAAAGCTTTGCTGGATCTTGAAACTGATGCATTCTTTGTTGACTTCTTAAGGAGCGCACCTGAAAGAACTGGTAAGTATGGACTCTGATAACCATGGAGATGGCAGGAATAGGGAAAGGGATATGATAAAATAAATAGAGATATGTCTTAAAAATGCATAGTAAGTTCATGCATCAAAGGTGACTGTTCTGTCCAGTGACTTTGAAAGTAGTCTGTGTTACCAAGTGTGGCACATCTTTATATTTATGGGATTTTTAAGTCCATATTTTTATCCAGATTATCTGTACAGGAGAGCCTTGCTTCCATTTATATCAATGTGGTAGGTAGACAAAACTGCCAAAAAATTAGCATGATTCTATGTTATTCTCAAGTGATGAAATAAATGTGGTATGAATGATGTGAAGGGGGTGGAGTTGCAGTACTAGATAAAAGACAGCACTCTAGCTACCATCTCCTAGAAAACCTGGTAAAAGAATACAGTACTTCTTAGGAAATACGCAGTACATGATTTTGTAACAAATGAGTATTATTTAAAAATCTCATGAATGCTAGCAAAACCTCTTGAATTATCCATATGGCTTATAACAATGTCTTTGTGTCTTTTAAATAAAAACACTGTGTCACTGACCTTGCTTAAACGACCTGGGAATATTTGTTAGTTGATGCAAAAGAACAGAAAACAGTGCTTTGGGTTTTGGGGAAGGTCATTATTTAAGCCATTGGATGATTGAGCTATCTGTGTTCCTATCACACTGATGATGGATAGTGGAGGCAATAAAAGGTTGGCATGAATGGTCAAATGCCATTTAAATCTCTTAATTGAAATAGTCAGAAGGCAGTGACAAGAGGAGACTAAAGGATGGAAGTAAAAAACTGCTGTGAGAAAGCAGTTATATACATCCTTAAATAACTTGCTAAACTGCAGCAATGTAGAGGAGACTGAAATATAAGTCAGAATACATACTGAGAGAGTGAAGAGTGACTTTTAATGCAAAAATCTGAATCCATGCTAGAAACCATTATGTTGAACTGAAAAATAAATGCAAAAAGAAGCATTTATTTCTCAAAATAATTTGCTTCCTGGTGACAGTTTACATGTGCCTGCCCTGTAATGTGCCTTTTAGTATGAAACTTCATCTAAATACAAAGTAGGAGACGCTCATTCAGAAAGGGTCTTTATTTAAAAGTATTATTTAATAATACTACTTTATGTTTTGTTTTCAATATGTTTGTCAGAGTCTTGAGAACCCCTTCCTGTTTTGGCTTTAATTGACAAGAATAACAACTGTAATTTTGTTTTAATTGTCCCTTTAATGGAATTTAGTCTTGCCCATTACGATGGAAGTGTGAGAACAGGAATTGGATTTCTGAGCTCTTAAATATATAAAAAAAGTACATCTGACATCAATTTCAAATAGCTTTATGCTCAGGTTAGTGATACATTTACATATACTCCCTGTAGCTCTGGGTTGTACAGTCACAACATATTTGTCCCTGAGATAAACACACGAAGACTTGAGATGAAGTAGCTCAAACATCACTTTTTAGATCTTACCTTCACAGAAATTGTTAGTGGTACTAGTGTTCTTGAGACCCTCAAACTGTTCAAAGGTGTTTTTTTATCAGTTAGTTTTGACATTCCTATTTAGTTCTTGTGAATCTTGAGACTAGAGAAGAGTTTAAAATAATATATTACAGTAGCTGCCTCTGTAAATAAGGTAAATGTATGGCCTTTCTTAGGTTTAGTACTTGATCATGCTGTTTTTTGACATTAATAATAAAACTGCAGGAAGAGGATTAAGCTGATATAATTCTCTTAAATGGTTTGAAACTGTAAAAACATCACTACAGTTTTACTCCTTTCTGTATTCCTTATTAGTTACTTATCAGTAGCTGAGTTGTTTAAATGTCTTGTTCACCTTATAAGACACTTATTTCCACCTGGAATACTCCTTTTGTTTAACCAGTGTCTTTGCAGGTTAATAAGTAGTTGGTTAATTTAATTAGGTCTTAATCTAAAGGGGTGTTCATATATGCAGAAACAATACAGACCTAAAGAATTCTGAAATTAAAGTGACTTCAAGCATACATAGATTGCAATATAAAGGACAGCTGAATGAGAATTAATCATCACTTTATTTTGTGAGGTTTGGTTCTGTGGTAAAAGGCAATTTCATAGAATCATAGAATGGTTTGGGTTGAAAGGGACCTCAGAGATCATCTGGTTCCAACCCCCCTGCCAGGGACAGGGACCCCCTCCACTAGACCACGTTGCCCAAAGCCCCATCCAGCCTGGCCTTGAACACTTCCAGGGTGGGGGCATCCACAACTTTTCTGAGCAACCTGGTTCAGTTTCTCACCACCCACATGATAAAGAATTTCTTCCTAATATCTAATCTAAGTTTACTCTCCTTCAGCCTAAGGCCATTACTCCTCATCCTATCACTACAGGCCCTTGTAAACAGTCCTTCTCCAGCTTTCCTGTGGGCCCCCTTTAGGTACTGGAAGGCTGCTAGAAGGTCTCCCCAGAGCCTTCTCTTCTCCAGGCTGAACAACCCCACGATGGGGTGTCAGGAGACAACTTTTTCACCATGAGGGTGAGTGAGCACTGGCACAGGTTGCCCAGAGCAGTTGTGGAGTCTCTCTCCTTGGAGATATTCATAAGCCATCTGGACACTTGTTCTATGTGTCCCTGCTAGGGGGGTTGGACCAGATGACCTTTAGAGGTCCCTGCCTACCTCAACCTTTCTGTGATTTTATTTACTGTGAGTAACAATTCTTACTAATGAAGACATGTCACCTTATAAGCATGATTAATGCTTATGAATGGAAAGCTGAGACAGCAGCACTATTTCCTTCTTTATTTTGGGTGGGGAAGAGTTGACAATTCCTTGTGGCTTTCAGATCACTTGATGAAACAAATGTATGCATTTTCACAGTGAACAAACTTCTTTTTGTTGTGGTAATTATTCATTTTAGTAGTATTTTTTTTTCTCTACTACAATGATTTAATCAACTTAGAGTGTTTTTCTTTTACAAAAAAGATTATTTGGAATTTTTAACTGCAATATTTATTTACCTTCATTCTCTGGTGCTACTTTTGCTTATAGTGTCTAAGTTAATTTCAGTTTTTCATCATTCAAGTTTCACATGTAGAGAAAGAAGGCTCCTTAGGTTTTTCTGGTTTTGTCTTTGAGAATGAAGCAGCTGAACTTACTGTTCCTTGTAGGCAGAGTATAGGCAGCACTCTTATATGTCTATCTAATATGTAATATTATGTATAATAAACCTGGTTCTTAGCAGTTAAAGAGACTTCTAATTACCTTCATTTACTCATCTCCACATTGTGACTTCGTCGGCCGTTTAAACTGCTAAGGTTTTGTTACTTGCTTTTTGTTCTAGGTGAAAAATCAGAGGAAGTTAATTTAGATATTCCCAAAGTCTATGAGCCAATTTACTCCTTTCATCAGCTACGAAATTGTTTAAATGTGTTTTTACAAATATACAATGAGAATGTCCGTGGTACTGCAATGGACATGGTTTTCTTTGAGGATGCTATGATTCATTTAGTGAAGGTACAGTCTTACTGGATTGCTATTTGTCTTTGTTGTTGTTGTTCACTTGCCCTCAGCTCCTATGAGTGGAGGTATACATGAATCAAGGTAAATTACTTCTAAAACTGAAGCAAGCAATTTATTGCTAACACATATTTTATCTGTTTCTCTGTGATTAGGTATTAAAATGCAACTTTTCTGAAAGTGCATCGGATGGAACTATTCTATATCTATCTTTTATATCTGGGATCATGGTCCTAGCTATTCTAACTCTATCTTAACCTTTCTTCTTGTTAATTCTTTTGAAGCCCTTCCACTCTTTGGAATGAGTCAAATGAAATTCAGGTTAGGACATAATTGATTTGTTATGAAGGAGTAGGCACAGCAGAGTAGGAATAAATGTAGTCCCAACTTCCTTTGTAGATCCACAGTATGCTCACTTCTTTTAAAATTCCTTTGAATATGGATTAGAGCTGACCATAATTTTTAGCACAGCACAGCTTGATAGGATTGTCCACACAGAATAGGCTTCATACAAAGGAGAAGCTTTTCTTTTCTTTTCTAAAACCCCTATTGTTTCTCAGTTGCACAGTGAGGTTATCTGTATTTCTTATAATAAATTATTAAGAGCTGAATATTAGATTGTACCATCTTAGCAAATAATATGATAAATATCACAAGAATTTAAATTTAATTATAGTTGATAGACATGCTGCATCTGCTGTTTTCAAAATTTTGGAGCGTATTCTTGTCATTTTACAAAATTAGTCCCTTTCTTTTAAGGTCTTCCCTGCAAAATAGATGATGTTCTGCTATGGATTTCTTTAGGAAAATTGTTAAGTCATCATCACACTTACTAACAACTTTCTGGTTTATTCCTAGTAAAAAAAAATCTATTTAAATTAAGGATCTAGCAAAAAAACAACAACAACAACAAAAAAAAAACCAACCCAAAACCAAACCACATTTCAGTGAAGAGCCACCTGTCATGAGGAATCTCTTCTTTGGATAGCAAGATGCTAAATACTTGAAATGTTATTTTAACTTCCACTTGGATAAAATTAATATATAGTGTTTCTCTGATCCCAGATTCTTGAAAACAGCATTTACAGCTGTGCAGGTCTGAGCTTTATGCATTAGCTATACTTGAGACAGCTTCTAAGAGAAAGCTAGGTAAGCACAGTTAAGGTAATGCCTAATCTGAGCTGATGTAATATAACTTGAACGAGTTAAAGCTGAGGAAGACCTTAAACAGAGAACAGAGCTTCCAATTTACAGCTTGTGTGCCTCTGCCTGGAAAAGATCTAGTAGCCATAATAGAAGTGATCAGCAATATTCCAAGGGTGGTGTGCAAATCTATTTTTCTTTCCCTGGATAAATACTAAGTATGCTTAGAGCAAACCTTCATACTTGATTTTATTCTTTCTTATATAACATTAACCTATGAAAAATAACAACTACATTGCACTCAATATGTAAAATATATGGGTTTAAAACTGCAGGAAATTGACATGACTATTTTTAATAACTTGAAAAAAAGTATTTTAGAGAAAAGGCAAGTAAATAGGTGTCCCAGGCTGCTTATTTAACATGCCTGGGACAACTTGTCTTTCTGGTCACAATGAAGGGGCCTGGAGAGATGAGTCTTACTAAAGTTGTCCAGAAGGTATGGTATTGGGGAATTTATTATTTCCTTCCCAGTTTTAATAATCTGTCGTGCTATGATAGCACATCGCTAACAAATCACAGTTGAGATTTACTTGTGCTTTATGGAAGTTGGAGATGCAATTCTACTGATAATTGAAAGTTCACAGTGATGGAACCAAGTGGTTGCTATACTGCTGGAAGGTTTACAGAAAATACTGCAAAGTGCAACTTTCTGTATAATATATTAATAGTAATATGGAATCCCTTAATAAAACCTTAAAATTTTAATTTGTTCTGCATTTCTAATATAACTATTACTGTAGTAGCATAGGATTTTTGGGTGTTTAACTTTTACACATTGTAGCAATAAATGACTGTGATTTTACACAGATTTCTCGGGTGATTCGCACTCCTCGTGGAAATGCTCTTTTAGTTGGAGTTGGTGGCTCAGGAAAGCAGAGCTTGACAAGACTAGCATCTTTCATAGCTGGCTATGATACATTCCAGATAATGTTAACAAGGTGAGCATTAATTAACATTTAAGTAAATAAGTACTCTGTGTTTGAACTTTCCTATAAATAAAACAGGCTCCCAATCTCTGCAATGGGAGAAAGAACAAGCTTAACACAGGCTGAGCACTGCTGCCTAGAGTGGAAAGACATGAAAATCCTTTGAGACCTACTAAATCCTCTTGATTTTCTAGAGTAAGTCTGAGCTTTTACCATCTTTGGAGTAGTAAACTGTTTTGTGTGTTTTGCGGAATGAGAAGAAATATTGGCAGCATCAAGACACAATTACTCTGTGTCTTTACACAGTACACTAAGCTGTACTGAAAGTATTTGTAGGTGGTGTCTATCCATAATGCCGTTATGAATTTATCTTGTAATATTTGAAATAACGCCTCTGTGAGGAGGTGGAATCCTCATCCCTGCCCATTAATTTGATAGATCTTATATATATGTCAGTATTTTGACAATGTTTTCCAAGTATAGCTTGCCTTTTTTTCATATTGTTCAACCCAATGTGGCTTATTTTGGAATAACTCACAAGAAATATATTTTTAAAAATTATAAATCCTTCTCTGAATATTTTAGAATGAATACCTCCCTGTGACTGCAGGACAAGTCAATGATCAGGAAATATTTTTGGCACGCAAATAAGATGTCATTGTAGAGAAACTAAATTATTTTAATTCTTGCAGCTGTGTTGGCTGCAGAAGAAATTGTAGATTCACATGTGGGAATGCCTCTCAATGAGGATCTCATCAGAGGATCTATCTGAAATTGGAATGACTTCAGGAGAGATTACAGTACAGTTGACAAAACAAGTAGTAACAAATTGCTGGATATCATTCACAAAGTATTATGAATCCACCTGAGGGTGAAATATTGAATTAAGAAAGTGGTGTGCAGCTTCCCTCTTAAAGTTGCCTCAGCACCTAAGGATAATAATAAGGCCTACATCAAGCCCATGAAAAAAAAAAAGTCCAGAAGAGATCTGGGGACCCCTTACACCTGAAGGCTTGTAAACCCGATGTGTGCACCAGATGAATTAAAGAAACTATCATGAAGAGTAGACTGAGTGAAGATTTGAATAAACAGAATTTTAAGAAAGACTCATCAAAGATGAGATAAAACATAATCCTTTCTTACAAACCACTAAGACTTCTCCAAGTGAGTCAACAAGCAAGTGTAGAAGTATGATGTGATTGAAAAAATGAAACTCCATACTTTTCTAACCTAAAACCACATCTAATAATTTGTGCCAAAATACCTTTGGGAAAAATTTTGAATCCTTCTTGTATAGAATTGTTTGCCATTTGTTAATCCAAAATTCCCTGTACTGTGAGTTCTTAAAGATAATAATTGTTGGGTTTATAATGTTTTAATTTAGTTCACCAAGGTAGATGATAGTCATATTGCTAACTTGATATGTATAACTTAAAGTATTTTTTTTCAGGTCAGTATTTTTGTCTAATTTTGAATAATTAACTGAATAACTTTTCCAATCATTTTCCCCTGCAGCTGAAACAAAAGGGCATAGAATATTTGTGGGTTTTCTGTGTCCGTTTCTAATTTTTGTAGTGTATTTGCTTTTGAAGTGTCTTATTTATAAACACATGTATGGAACTTTATTTTAGTGATTATGATATCTTTGCTGAAACACAAAAAATTATCTTATTAATCATCAACAAAAAGATTGTAAAACAAATGTATTTATTTTCTGAGCTCCTCCCTAGTAATGAAGAAGTATTGTACAATTTCTGATTTTTCAGGTCATACATGAGGTCATTACGAGTACGTAAGGAACTCTTAATCAAGTTACATGCAACCACTTCTCTGCTTTAATTACCAGTGGGCATTCTAGAAACCTCAGCTTTTATTGCACTCCTTTATCCAGCCAGAGAGATCATTCCAGTGTAACTTTGTATATTGGGTTTGTGTGGCAAGGTTTGGCAATGGGAGGGGCTACAGGGGTGGCTTCTGTGAGAAGCTGCCAGAACCATCCCCCACGTCCGACAGAGCCAATGCCAGCCAGCATCAAGATGGACCCACCACTGGCCAAGGCCAAGCCCATCAGTGATGGTGGTAGCACCTCGGGGATAACATCATTAAGAAGGGGAAAACGTTGCTGCGCAACAGCAACCAGAAGAGGGGAGTCAGGATATGTGAGAGAAACAACCATACAGACACCAAGGTCCAACCCACCACACCTTGTCTAATATTTTCTATATTTTTGCTGCTGCTCCTTTTCCTTTTTTTAAAACTGTGAGTGCCACCATTGATGATGACTTTCACCAGAAGGGCTGACTTGAGTTTTTTAATTAGTCAGTAAAATCTAACATATCTTGTTGAACCCAGCACATGACAAAACCCTATGAGACAACACCTGTTTGTCCTTTCACTTTTTCTAGCAAAAGAGAAATAAATAGCATAATAGGAGTTCAGGTTTGGGCGTTTTTGTTGGTTTTGGCTTTTTTTGGTGGGTTGGGGGTTGGGGGTTTTAATCTTTTTAAATTATTTATTTTTTTTTATTGATGTGGGAGGTGAAAAAGAGAGCAGGAAGAAGAATGGATTAGGTATTTACTGTGAGACTTTGAAATGAACTATGTCGTTCCTCCTAATCTAAACGAAAATTCCTGGCCTTTGGCAGCTTTTTGCCTTAAATTCCAAGAGATTGTTTTTTACTTAAATTTGCTTGTTCTTTTTCTTTTAACCAGAAGCCCTTTTTAAAAGGAATGAATATTAGTCCAACTGTCCTTTTTTGTAGATCGTACAACACTTTAAACTTGATGGAAGATCTGAAACTCTTGTACAGAACAGCAGGACTGGAAGGCAAAGGCATCTGTTTTCTTTTTACAGACAATGAGATCAAAGATGAGTCTTTCCTGGAATACTTGAACAATGTTTTATCATCAGGAGAGGTAAGATGCCTTTTCCTGATCATTTTTCTGCTTTTTAAATTTTATAATTCTGAAGTAAAATAACTGAATTTATTGGAATATTTTTCTAGATGTCAAGGGGCACACTTTCACAAACTAAAACTCAAGTACTTTTTATCATTACAGTATTATAAAAAATGGAAACAATCCATTATACTAGGTTAGAGGCAGACAAAGCTATTGTAAAATTATGAATGAGCATTATCATTCCATACAGAGAAATTCTCTTAAGTCAGACCCTTTTAAATGTGTTGACAAGCTGTCAGGGACATGAGAATAGCTTAAAAAAACCCTGAGGCTTGGGGAACATCACTGAAGTTTAACAAAATTGTCTGTTAAATATCTCATCAGTGTACAATTAGTTTTTGTATGGAAAATATATGTCCAGAATGGATGGTGTGGCTTTTATTGTTTGTTTCTATTTAATTACTTTTTTATTTATTTCAGGGGTATATTTCAGAGTAATTTCTACTAGTTATTAGAATATTAAGAGAAGAAAGCAAAGCCATTGTACATGGATTCTTTGTTTTTCACATGGGAGAGTGGGGTTTACTTTTAGATTTCAGTGTGTTTAATGGAATTACTTCTGTAAAAGTTCTAGTTTGAAGGAGTGGGGTGGGTCCTGATAATTTCAGTATCTGAAATGTCCCTGCCTGAAATGCTATGTATTAATGAACTTTATGCTATATACTCTATTTTGGATTGTCTCACAAAGTATGAAAAAAATCTTGTTTTTTTCTCAAAGGTGTCAAACTTATTTGCACGTGATGAAGTTGATGAGATCATTAGTGACCTCATACCTACCTTCAAAAAGGAGCATCCACGTAGACCTCCAACCAGTGAGGTTCTGTATGACTACTTCATGACCAGAGTCCGTCAGAACCTTCATGTGGTTCTTTGCTTTTCACCAGTAGGTGAAAAATTCCGAAATAGGGCCCTGAAGTTCCCTGGTCTCATTTCTGGATGCACTATAGATTGGTTCAGCCGATGGCCTAAGGATGCACTAGTGGCAGGTACGTGTATGTTTTATCTTTGCATATACTTAATTCTCTGATTTGAGGTCATGCAGTTGTGTTAATTGCTTTGAATTTTGCCAGCACACTGGCAGAAGAAACTTACTTGGCTCTACTTTTTGATACAGTTGTTTTCTTCTTAAAAAAAGAAGAAAACTGTTGAAATATTTCTAACACAGGAAAGGCTTTGAACACGGTTTGAAGAAAAATTCCCCTTGGAGATGACTTAGTCATTAGTAAAGAAGGCAAAATACTACTAAAGAAACAGATTATTAGTGACTGTGCTTGTTATCAAGCATACAGAGGAAGGCTGTGATTACCGAATCCCTAGTAGCTAGCAGTGAGACAGGTTCAGAGAGAAAAAGCAGTTGCACACTTTGGAGGTGAAAGAATACCAGATCCTTGGCTACACTTTCTACTGAGAAGTGTGGAATAATATCAAGAATCTGATGGTGGAGAGTGAAGACAACCAGGGTTTGAGAAGCTGGGTTTACATTGCCTTCTTCATAAGCTAATGGTTTTCCTGAGTATTTGCTTACATTTATGATTTTCTTTCTTTCCTAAGTATCTGAACATTTCCTGTCATCATTTGATATGGACTGCACTGCTGATACAAAGAGGGAAATTGTGCAGTGTATGGGCTCATTCCAGGACGGAGTGGCAGAGAAGTGTTCTGATTACTTTCAAAGATACAGACGCTCTACACATGTGACTCCCAAATCCTACCTGTCCTTTATTCAGGGATATAAAACCACATACAAAGAAAAGCATGCTGAAGTGCAGACATTAGCAAACAGGTAAACTGCTCAGTTTACTACTGTCTTTCTGTGGTTTTCTTCCCCAGATGTGTATCTTCTGATACACTTCCTTTCAATGCATAGCTTGTCCCTTTGCAAATCAAAAGGATTATTATTTTTTTTTAATTTACTAAAATAATGTAAAGGTGTAACTTGTTCAAATATTATAGTTGCTCTTGGCATATAAGTTAAAGATTATATATCTTTGGAGGGGGAAAAAGGGTAGTGATGTATGAAAAAGCAAAGCGGTGGGAAAAAACGTGAATATAAGTTATTCTCACATATTTTTAATGACTAAAAGAAAACATATACATGTAATTTCATAATATATTCACAAGAATATTTTATTTACCAGTGAGAAACTTTTTTTTCTTGCTAAACAGTTATATCCTTCTTATATGAAAATGTAAGAAATATACTTGGCGTTTTTGGTTTTGTGATCATAGAGCCTAATTTAGGCTGCTGAGCTTCTTTCTTGTAGATTATTAATGTGGTTTTGATATATTAATTCTCCTTTTGAGGTACTTTATTAAACTAATGAAGTCTATTTGCAGATTTATCTTCATGTCAGAAATACTCAAATAGAATGTAAAATTAGCATTTAGTGTATCAATTGGTATCACCCCTAAGAAATACTGCCTTCTTAATTTTGAAAGATTGGCACAAAGAGCTGGAAGCTTTTAAGACAGACTCAAACTAGATTATTTCACTTTGAAACATTCTTTGGCTTCAAAGCCAAATTGAGTTAGAAATCTGTAGTTACATTATGCGTGAAACTTGCAAAACAGAGAGACCTGGTCCTGTTTTTACCTTCTGATGCCTCAAATGTACCAAATTAGCTCATGCATGTCAATTTGTTTCACTTAACCTTAGTTGCATAGTCTGAATTGGCAGGTGTTACTCTTTATCTGTTCTCCTGTATTTGTCTAGCTGTCCAAGTACTGTTTAGCCTTTGCAATAGCAGACTCTGTAGAGGCCACTTAAGCTTGTCTGAAAAGTCCCAAGTGAGGATTTGGTATGGAACCAACATACAGGATTTTTATGCAATCATAAAGGCATACTGTTTGAGTTAGAAGTGGGTAAAATTTCAAGCCACAGACTCTCTTCGTGGAATTCTTTATTGTTCACTTTCTTTATTGTGAAGACATCAGACACTTACGTGAAAGTTCCTGTACATGTTTTATTTTTGGTGTTAAAGATCTTTTGCTAGTGTTCGTTTTGATTGATGTGATTCATTCTATTGATGGAATAATTTGGAAAGTGGAGTGTAAATTATATAGGGAATCACATGCTTCTTATTTTGCTTTTTAACTCCAGAATGAATACTGGACTGGAAAAATTGAAAGAGGCTTCTGAGTCAGTGGCTGCTCTAAGCAGAGAACTGGAGGTAAAAGAAAAGGAACTTCAAATTGCCAATGAAAAAGCTGACATGGTATGTACAGCCTTCAAAACGTATTGCTGTTTGATTTTTTTTTTTCCTCTCTTTATTTCTTCTATTTTAAAAAGATTAATCAAGTAAAAGAAAGTATTGCAAAGAAAGGGATCTTGGAAACTTAGAACAGTGACAAAAGTCATCTTGCTTGAGTTTTCTGGTTCTGGAATTCAACAGATAAAGTTTTACAACAAAAATTGTGTTTTCTTTAATATTTGGTGCATGGTTTTTCTCATATTCTAGGTATTGAAAGAAGTTACTGTAAAAGCACAGGCTGCTGAGAAGGTGAAGGGTGAAGTTCAGAAAGTGAAAGACAAAGCTCAGGCTATTGTAGACAGTATCTCAGTTGACAAAGCCATTGCTGAAGAGAAGTTGGAAGCTGCCAAGCCTGCTTTGGAAGAGGCGGAAGCAGCCTTACAGGTTAGTACTTGGACCATGTATAACATTATTTTACTGCTAAGGTGATGGACATCTTTGAAAACAAATATAAGATTGTAGGTGCATCACATAACTCATCAGTTGACAGAAAATGTATGCAAATAAATGTATGTATTTTGAGGCTTTTTAGGTTCAGTATTGTTTTTCTTTTTCCACCTGACTACCAAACCCAAAATAGGCAGTTTTTCAGGAAAGGGCAAGTTTTAACTTTCATTTGAAACTATGATTGATATATGATGCGCTGCAGGTTGATATTAGACCAGTAACCGAATGTTGATACTGTTACAAAATAGCTTGTGTGCAATGAGTGAAAAAGTGCCTTCCATGTAAAAAAAGTTATAATTCCATCCAAATCTAAACCTCCTGTTTTATTTTAAGTTTTCACTAATGAATTGCATTTTGAATAAGTTTGCTGATCCACGCTTTTCTGACTTCTTCAAAAAATTTTTTTCTTATGAGTTGTGGCATTACCCAGATTTCTAGCATTCGCTATGACACTTTATGTCTTTCAACATACTCTGTTTGTAAAGCTTTTTAATAGAGTGATAACACTTTGCCCATATCTTTACATGATGCACCATTAAAAAGATTAATGAAAAAAAGATTAATTTTTGTTGATCTTGCATAATAATTTTTTTAAATGTCTGTTCAGCTATCTCTATAAGAATGTCCCTCAAGTCATTTCTGTCATGAGCAGCAGTAGTAGGATCTGAAGTAAACCTAATAGTACAGGCTAGCAGGGAGCTGGCATCTCAAGACGTTCAAAAGAATGAAGGAAAAACCTGAAGGAGAGATAAACCTCAAAGGCTGTTATGTACATTTACTGCAAGGTTTTCCTTTCCACTTGAAAGGATGCCAATGGTTGTGATGGTTAAAGACTATTGTGACATTCCTTGAAACCAAAGTCTTCAAAATCTAGTATAAGTTTTCATGGATATTCTGAATGTACTACTTTAAGGGAGAGGTGCTTAACAATCTCTGACTGCCATGATTCTTGAAGGGCAGAGTGGAAGTGTCTAAATGAAGGCTGATGACATGACAGCTGATAAGAGTGGAATAAGAGAGCAGGTTTGGATCAAAAAATTACTTAACTACAAGAGAAAGGTAAAAAAAAACTCACCAAAACCCAACCAACCAACCAAAGACTCCAGAGGTGGGCAAGCATTCTGACAACTACATAAACAAACAGTGCTGCTAACTGGGCAGTGTCTGAGGTGTGAAAAGAACACCAATGTGTGTCCTGTCCTGCATCTTATTACAGCTTACTTTCTGGTTTTGGATAAAGTTACCAAACCAAAACAATACTACTCTTCTTGAAATCTGGGATTCTAAGAAACAAAAATCTGATTTTAAGGAAAAGCTATACTAGCATTATTGTGAGACTTCACAGTGGAGAAAGGTAGTTTGGCTTAGTCTTGAAATTCTTGCATTTGCTGTAATAAATTGCTTTGCCTGTGCCTAAAGAGGAATGGAAAACTATCATAAAAGTAAGCCTATCAGCATGCATATCTGTATTCTCAGCATGCATTCATTCATTCAGAAACTCCTTTAAGCAAGAAAATTCTCTGTACGACTCTGTATAGGGCTGCATCTTTCAAAATAATCTCACAATCATTATGGATTTTCAAATTTCTAGCTAGGCATTCCTATAATGGCATTATGCTTGCAGTGTAGACAAATGTCTATTAAAATATCTGATAAATATAAAGGTCACTTCCAAGATAAAAAAAAAATAAAATCTGTGGTTGATTATTTCACTCCATTTTTAACATAGCACTTAGCAGTCCTAAAATATGTTACGAGACAAGTAGGTACAGAACAGTTTATAAGTATTTTTAAACATATAGTAAGATTAATTTTTTAAAGTTTGAGTAAGAATTGTCAGAGTTCAATAAAACATAGGTGCGCTTTGCCCTGCAATAAAAATGGCACATTAAATGCACAACTTGAAGTAAATAAATAAATATAAACTAAATGCAACTCTTCCCACAATTTGGATGGTAGTAAAAAAGGCTGGGCTGAATTTCTTAAAGGTCACTAAGAAACACTGGTTAAAGTTTCCACACAGATACCTGGAAAAACTCTGCTGAATTATCAGGTGCACACTGAACCCAACGAGCAGCAAAATATTGAAGGGAAACAAAAGGCAGGCAGAAGGAAGGTGATAGGGAGAATCTGCAATAATTTACAATCCCTTTCTTAATGTATGAACACAAATAATTAAAAGTTTCCTTTGTGAATTCCCAGTGAGGCATGTGCTAGGTTAGAAGCAAGGTGTCAAAACACTTGCAATAGCCTGTTGCTTACTGTTTCTCACTGTCATGTACTCAGGCTGAGTAACTGACTGTGAATAAGCAGAACTTCTGATCCAAGTTGTCTGGTTTAGGAGTGCACCTGCCCATTAAGCAGTTATCATTGTTTGGTGTTTTTCTGCTTTGTATGTGGTGCAGTAGCACATACATTGTGCTCCTTGTCTTCCTAAGGAGACATCTTCAAGTGGATGTTTCTGATAGTCCTTTCCGATTCATGGTGTACTCTAGTGTTACGAGTTATATTATTAGATTTGCACCCTAGGCTTACTTGTCCTTACTTAATAGGGCCTAGATTTTCATACATTATTATGATTTATTTCTTTTTCTCTCAGACCTGCTTCTACAACAGGAGCATTCCCAGTAAGATGAATCAGAAGGTCCAAATCTGTATGTGTGTCAGGCTTTGTCACTGGTTTCCTTAATTCACCTTCATTTGCCAAATATCAACAGAATGTATTTTCCTTTCTAGACTCAGTTTCTGGTCAATAGGTTTGCGTTTTAAAAAAATAGGTAAAATTTCAAGATGTTTCTGTTTTGCTCTTTGTTTTGTCGAAAATGTGCATAGGAGTTTTAAGTTTTTAGGTGCTGCTGTGGCTGAGTTGAGGTTTCCTGGTAGTTGCTAGGAGGTAGTAGTGAAAATCTAGTTAGAAGGTCCTTCTAGCTTCATGCTTTTTAGAGGTAAAATTATTTTCAATCAAAAATAATATGAATAAGGTTTTTCTTCCCCAATGAAATAATACTCTTGGTGAGCTTGTGCTCTATGTCTTATTAACTAAACAATAACAGTAATTGCTTTACCCTTTTTATTAAATTCATAGACAATAAAACCTGCAGATATTGCCACTGTCCGCACACTGGGTCGACCTCCTCACCTCATTATGCGTATCATGGACTGTGTGTTACTGCTCTTCCAGCGAAAAGTGAACAATGTGAAAATTGATCAGGAAAAGTGCTGTACTATCCCATCATGGCAAGAATCTTTGAAACTGATGACAGCAGGGAACTTCTTACAGAACCTACAGGTGCTTGTGCAACCTTCTTTTTGATTTTTTTTTTTTTTAATTTTAGAAAACAGGGGACAGTGTTTTCTCTGGTGTTCATAGGAGAACAAATATGCAAGGGGAATTAGGCACACAATAGATCTGAAATGTTAAGGGCTTAAAAATAAGTATGTCATAATGAAATAAACATGAATCCTTCTGGCAAAGTCAGGTCATAAATCAATTATAGTTTCTCCTAAGTAAGGTAATGAAATTACTTTCAGTGATAAACGATTCAAAGCTTTAAGCATTTGGTTTGAATAGCCATTACTTATGTGTTTCATTAAAGCTGAGAGAAACCATCTTTTTACTGGTACCTATTTTTTTTATTAATTTTCAGCATTGCAACCTGTGCAGTGTCTTGCAAAAGGATAGTTGATTATTAGGATGTACAAAATCAGATTTTTTTTTTTTTTTTTTTTTTAAATTTTGGATTTTCAGCTCCATAGAATGATTCTAGGGAAAGGGGAAGAGTAACTGGTGAATAAATCCCTGTTCATAATTTAAACTAATAATATTATGATTAATCTACTCAGAATAAATTGTACCTTGTCCTACCCCACTGGATGTTATTATCTCTGATTTATGCATTTTGAGGAGTTTATTTAATCTGTCACTGGTCCAGCAGGTAATCACAGATGGCAGGCTTGACCAGCTTTCTATGGTTGATAGTGCCAGGGATGCCTTTTATGTAGTATTCACATTGCATCTACTCGTAAGGATTTTTAATTTACTGAAGGGCTTCAACATTTCATTGCTTGTGCATAAATAAACCTATTTGTGCTTCAGGGAACAGCTATTTTTCAACTTCATCAATGATGGACTTTCATTATACCTTGTAAATAAATCTTTAAAGATGACCAAACTTATATAGAATATTTGAGCATCAAAACAAATTTGAGGGAGAAAATTGAGAGCTTTTTGGGATGGAAAATGGAAGATATGTTTTTTGGAGAAAAAGGGTAAAATAAATTCTTAAAATTGAAACACATTCAACTAGTGAGATAAGGTAATTTAAGGAGAAGATAGCTGGCTTGCTCTTCGAAAGGACTGTCTTGCTGAATGTATTTTTATGAACCAGAGCTAAGCTTTTCCTTTTCTTTTTGAAGATTGCTATGTTACTTATTCAGTCTTAAGGAAAATGGAATTTCAAGGAGGATATCAGTGATATTTTGTTTCAACAATTAGCTGTGTAACAGTAATGGATAGTGTAAGATAGCAAAGATCATAAATGAAGGGAATTTTTTTCCATTTTGTAAGAATATAGAACAGAGTAGAATGGCTTTGGCAAACTCTCAAAGATGCATGAGACAGAGAACTCCATATTAGCTGTTTGTAAATAACATTTGTTATCTTGGTAGGGTTCTGTGTGTGCTGAAATACGTATATGTATAGTTTACATATATGACATAGATTATATATATTGCACTTTTTTTTAAAGCAATTTCCAAAGGACACAATTAATGAAGAAGTGGTAGAACTTTTGAGCCCTTATTTTGAAATGGTGGACTATAACATTGAGACAGCTAAGAGAGTATGTGGGAATGTTGCTGGGCTTTGCTCATGGACCAAAGCTATGGCTGTATTTTTTTCCATCAACAAAGAAGTATTACCTTTAAAGGTAAGTCTGTTAATCGGTTGGAGGCACACGAACACCCTTTCCTCCTCCTCCTCCTCCTCCTCCCCACCTGTGTGCACTTGAGGTTTTTGTCTCCTGGAAACATCAGCTGCCTTATTCCAACTGGTGCATGTCTCTGTAGGAATTTATTATCCTGAAAAAAGTAACTCTACAGTAAAATATATTCCAAATGTACTACCATTTGTAGGTTGTAAAAATTATGAGATTGTGCAGTTTTATTCCTCTGGATCCCTTCTGAATGGGGTTGAAACAGCTGTCATCTAGATTAATTCAATATTGCAATTGCTTTGCCTTAATTAAGAATTAAGTAGGAAAAAAACTCGAGATCTGGTTCTTTTAATGTTCTGGATTTCAGTTCATAAGGACTGTACAGAACTTCTGTTCATCAGTGTTGTTTGGAGAAAATCAGGCCTAGATAGTTGTTAAAAGGTCAGAATGAAAGTCAGGAAGAAGATGGTCAAGCATGACTTTAACACAGAATAGCTTGTATTTATAATAGGAATGACCAAGAGGGAAGCAAGATTTGTAGTTAGAGGTAATATCTTTTGTTAGATAAAGCATATTGCTTGGAGAAACCAAATAGGCTTCCGGTGGCACCAGTCTTTTTTGCAGGCCAGATCGGGCTAATTTTTGTGTCAGATGGAGAATGGCTGGTATTTCCAGAAATTTTTCTAATTATTTTTTCTAATTGATGTTAGACCAATTGCTTAACTGCAGCTACCTACTAAGAAGTTAATTTGTTGTCAAATTCAAGTAAAAGGTTTTAATCAATGATGAAATCTCTACTGAGCAGTTTGATTTTGAAATGTAGTACAGTAAAACCCTTTGAGCTACATTATAGCAAATACTTGGAGATGTTTTTGTATGTATGAATACACTTTTATATTTGTATGCTTCATAGGCTAATTTAGCAATCCAGGAGAATCGCCTAACCACTGCTATGCTGGATCTGCAGAAAGCTGAAGAAGAATTGGGTGCCAAGCAAGAAGAATTAGATATTGTGCAGGCAGAGTATGAAAAAGCAATGAGAGAAAAACAGGTGAACTGCTCTTTACAGAAAAGTTGCCACCCTTACTTTAAGGAAAAACTTAATGCATTCTTTCAATGTCACCATTTTTCCTTGGAAAGGATCTTGATGGACCAAGGATAAGAGAGAGATATTATTTGGATACTGCCTCTTTGGATCCCACTGATCCTCTCCCCGCCTCCCTCCTTACCTCCTCAAAAACTATTTTATTTGGATTACTTGTTTAGTACCTACTACTATAACACCAAGTTTCATTAATGTATATTATCTGTCTATAATGTATTTGAAATTCCGAGCAGAATTCCCCAGAGTTAATAGGTACTAGGCATTTCGCATATCATTTAACATGCATGCCAAAATGAAAGTTAAGAGCAGAAATATTAAAAAGTTGAATTTATGACAGATGTTGATAGATTGTCCTGATATATTTTTTCCATCCCACTTTCCCTCCTTCTCTGCATGGTGATATAAGTGTTTGAGAATATATTTTTAAGCTGTTGTTTAACTGCTGGTTTAATTAGATGTAGAGATTTTTCTGGCCTGTCAGATACATGACTGTAAAAGATCTTTCTTGGTGTATGCTTTTCTCTAGACTTTGCTTGAAGATGCTGAGCGTTGCCGTCATAAAATGCAAACTGCCTCAAGTCTTATAAGTGGTTTAGCAGGTGAAAAAGAGAGGTGGACAGAGCAGAGTAAAGAATTTGCCGTGCAAACCAAGAGGCTAGTGGGTAAGCTTTTGTGCACACCTTTGAACTTGGAAGTCAGTCACTTGAGTTGTAATGCGTATTGAAACTAAAAACATTTGAAATTTCAAACTTTTCCTTTCTAGCTTTGCTTCCCTGTTGCTAAAATGAGGATAATTGTCATTAATTTTCTTGCTAAAGCACTGCTAGGTAAAAACTACAATATGAGACTAAAGTTGATATTAATAAAAAAATACAGTAAGTGTGTATGCTGTGCATGGACTTTGTGTACAACATGCAGTGCATACTTGGGACACTGATTTTTTTTACCTTGACTGATGTTTGTAGGCAGCAGTCCAAAGAGAGTGATATGTTAGCAAGTGCCAATAAAATGTCTGTAACTGAAAATACATACAGAGGAGAGGAAGACTGATATTCAGGCACTGACATTTATATGTAGAAATCAATACTTTTAAATACAGTTACTGATGTTCAGAAAACTTTTGTTTCTTAGAAGTTAATTTTTATTTTATAAATATGTGCTTGGAAACTAAAGTACTTTATTACAAAGAATTATTTTATTAGTTAGACCAAGTAAATAAAATTTCTCTTGTCTTTTACTGTGGTCTGAATTTTCATCTCTGACTTTTACCTTGAGATGCTGCAAAAAGCAGATATTGTTGTATAGGTTGTATTATAGTATATAGGCTGTAAATTATTTGCTGGTATAATATGTATATGTGTATTATTAATTTACTAAAAATACAGGATACCTTACCCACACACTCATTGTGGGTTTTTTATAGAGAACTTGAAAAAGTCTAAAAAATATTAGTACTCAGTATAAAATTACAGTATCTTCTGCATTTGAATCCTGCATTCTTACTTCAGAGGTACAAAAAAATCCCAGAACTATGGTGTCATGAAACTTAGAGGGCCAATTTTGAAGCTGACCAGAAGATTAAAACTTGTCACGCTTGATATCTCCCTAACGATGTCTGTTACAATTTTTTATTAGTGGTAGTAATAATTGTAATTGATTTGTTCTTAATTAGTACTCCTAAATAAAGGTTCTTTTCTGCCCCCAAAATATTGTTTAAGCCTGTTCTTGTGATTGTGCAAGGAAATGATGCTTGTGCAGGATCTGGTGTTTGGAATAGTGTTATGTGTGCATGTGTTTGGTTGACCTTGGCTGCCAGATGCCCATCTCTTGATTCCTACAGTTGCATTGTAAGGATAAAATAAGGATAAATGTGGTATCTACTGAAATGTAGCATTGTCTTGCTATGTAATGAGCCTTGGGGAAAAAGGCTGATTTGTCTTCTTGATGTCTCAAAGTGTGTTCTTCAGTTACCAGCTAAACCATGTAACAACTAGAGAAGGAAGCAGTTAATTTATGAATAGAATGGGAAAGTTTTATGTTTTGTTTTCTTTTTCCTTTTTTTCTTTAAGGTGATGTACTCTTGGCTACAGCTTTTCTGTCCTATTCTGGTCCTTTTAACCAAGAGTTCCGCAGTCTGCTATTAAATGATTGGCAAAAGGAAATGAAAAGTCGGAAAATCCCCTTTGCTAACAACTTGAACCTCATAGAAATGTTGACTGATGCTCCAACTATCAGTGAATGGAACCTGCAAGGATTACCAAATGATGACTTATCCATACAGAATGGAATTATTGTTACTAAAGCATCTCGTTATCCTTTATTAATAGATCCACAGGCACAGGGTAAAATTTGGATTAAAAATAAGGAAGGCAAAAATGAACTTCAGGTAATAGGAATGCTGGTGCTTTCATAATCCCTAGAAACTCTTACCTCACAAAACATTACAATTCAGTGATTCAAATAATACTTAGCAAATTCCTTTTATATAAAATGCACAATCAGGATATAAAGGACATCTCATATTTTGATAGATTTGAGATTTGGTTACATACGAAAATGTACATTTGAAGCTTATTAGTACCAGTGACTTGATTTGTTTAGTGAATTTATTTTAATGAAACATAAACTGTTGGAAAATAGGATGGATGGGTAATGTCTGAGAAAGGCTGAAGTATGTTTGCAGAATACTATAAATATTAGAAAAAAAAACCCCAACAAGTGATTAATATAGGTTCATAAAAATGTTTAAAAATTAAGATGCACAGCATGATATTTTTATCATCTTTTAATCAGAAATTATTGATAATTTGTGTTGTCTTAGCATGGAAGTCAGGTGCTAAATATGCTGCAAATACTCAGGGAAGTCAGTATTGCAACAATATAGAGTCTGAAGCAAGATAAACCAATTCAGTGCAAACAGGAAAATATGAGAAAAAGTCCTTGCTTGCTACAATTATGATTACACCAATAAACCAGCTTTTTAAAAAGATATCCCTGAAAAAGATAAAGGCAAATTTGAAAGATGATAATACAGTGGCTCTGAGATTATTACTAGGAAACTACTGTCATTCATGTTGATTGTTATCTCAGCGCAGAACACTTTAATGGTTGCCTAGCTAGTTATGTTTAAAAATTATTATTAGACTTTAACTATGTGGTTATAAACAAACTAAGCTGAATGTACTTTGCGTACATGTTGCCAATTAATCACAGTTGTACTGAGGACTACTTTTTAAAGCAAAGACTATTTAATGGCTTGTTCAATATAACCCCCTAATTTTTAAGGGGGGGAAGAAAAGCCTAATCTTGGAATTTACCTTGTTGCAGTTTGTGTTGGGGATGTTATCCAACTTAAAATTGAAGGTGATAAAAAGTTCCTGTGAATTTCTGGTCTAGCTGCACTGATAGGATATCAAAATGTTAAATGCGCAAGTGTTGCTTTGTTTCTCCTTTCATAGTTGAAAAATAGAAGTTTGCATTCAATGAGATCCGAGAATGTTACCTTTTCTTGTGGTGACAATCTTTGCCTTAATCCTAGTCTAACCGTTAGATCGTTGTTTTTGTCAGTAATTTAAATAAAATGAAATAATTTATAAATATAAAACAAACAAAAAGCTTGGTATCTGGGCATAACGTAATATATAGGTCCATGATTTTGTTTTTAGATCACTTCTTTGAATCACAAATATTTTAGAAATCACTTAGAAGACAGCCTTTCTCTGGGAAGACCTCTTTTGATAGAAGATGTTGGAGAAGAGCTTGACCCAGCACTGGATAATGTTTTGGAAAGAAACTTCATTAAAACAGGTTTAGCCAACAAGGTAAAAATAAAGCAAATGAGCAAACAAGTAGAAACAGCTCCGCCACACACCTTGCCCTCAACAAAATAACTCCTAATAAGTATATGACTATAAAAGGTTAAACTCGTATTTAAATGTGATTAATGCTAATACCAAAGAAAAGTAGAGTTTGAGTTTAAGATCACAAATAGTTAATATATTTAACCTATCGAGTTCCTTATCGCTTTGCTTATGAGTTTCTAAAAATTGAAATAATCTGTGAATGAGTAATTTAAAGTGTTCCATAGATATTCTCAACAAATTAATTGCATCAGAAGTATAATTTAAAGCTGGATTTTTATGCCTTTGAACAGAAAAATGTAAGATTTGTTTCTACACGCGGTATCTGAAAGAGTTTGTTCTTGATATCTCAAGACTTCTTTTTAATACTTTTCTTAAGGTGAAGGTTGGTGATAAGGAAATAGATGTTATGAAGGGCTTCAGACTTTACATTACTACAAAACTGCCAAATCCAGGTTACTCTCCTGAAATTAGTGCTCGAACCTCCATCATTGACTTTACTGTGACCATGAAAGGTCTTGAAAATCAACTCTTAGGCAGAGTCATTCTCACAGAGAAACAGGTAAGAGAATTGTATTTTATTTCTGGCTATACGTCTTATATTTACCTGTAGAAGGTTTTACTTTCTTTTTAATTTATTACTCTCTATTCCCATATTGCAGAGTAACTTTCTGGCGCTATCTACTGTGATTATTCTTAATAGAACCTATTTATGGTGGTTTAAAAACTGGCACAGAAAAAATTGACTCATTCAAGTGGAAGTTTCTATTTGTCTTTATTGTCACAACTGTACCATACTCACCTTATTTTTCCTGCCTCAATGAGTTATAACCTCATGAGAGTGGCCTATGAAAAGGAAAACAGCCTGGAATAAAAACTGATGTTCTTTTGTCCACACGCTGTGGAGCTCATGGCAACATATGCTGGTGCAAAGGATTCAGACTTAGTTACTTCCTTGCTCCAAGGGGTAATGGGCTAACTACCTATTTTGACACTGCAGATGTATTACTTGAGGAAGTGCAAGTTCAGGATAATCCTAATAAACACGCTATCAGCAGTTCTGGACGGAGACTGGTTGGTATCTTTTGAACTATTGGACACCTAATCCGGGTAACAGGGATTATAAAGTCAGACAATATTGAAGTCAAATGAGACACTATGCATCTATGACTGTGTATTTACTAATATTTTGGCAATAGTTCCAGTTTACTTTCACCAGAGAGGAATGTGTGTGTTCCCTTATGTTGTGGTTTAACCCCAGCTAGCAGCTAAGCACCACACAGCCACTTGCTCACTTCCTCTCACCCCTGGTGGGATGGGGGAGAGAATTGGAAGGGTAAAATTGAGGAGACTCATGGGTTGAGATAGAACAGTTTAATAATTTCAAAATATAATAATAACAATAGTAATAATAGTAGTAGTAATAATAATAGGAAAATAACAAAAAGAAAAATAAAACCCAAGAAAAACAAGTGATGCAAATGAAAAACAGTTGCTCACCACCTCACGCCAACTGATGCCCAGCCAGTCTCAGAGCAGTGATTGCTCCCCACCCCGCCCACCGCATCCAACTCCTCCCAGTTTATATTCTGAGCATGATGTCATATGGTATAGAATATCCCTTTGGCCAGTTTGGGTCAACTGCCTTGTCTGTGCCCCCTCCCCCTTCTTGTGCACTTCCAGCCTTCTCGCTGCACTCGGCGTGAGAAGCTGAAATGTCCTTGACTTAGTGTAATCCTGCTTAGCAACAACTAAAACATGAATGTGTTATCAACATTATTCTCATACTAAATCCAAAACAGAGCACTATACCAGCTGCTAGGAAGAAAATTAACTCTATTCCAGCTGAAACCAAGATACCTTATTGTGGCATCTGTTGAGGTGGTCCTGTCCTCCTCCTCTACCTCATTTCAATGTAAGCTGTTCCTCCTTAATGGCCTCAGACATTTAGTTAATGTCAAGTAGTTGCATTTGTTCCTGATCAGTCCATGGATCTCATGAGAAATCATACTTATTGTATGAAGGCTTATATTTTGTCAAACAGCTTCACTGCACCATCAGCTTTGCTTCAACCTGTGACAGCTTGTCAACCCACTATGTAATAGAATTATCACTGTCTGAAACACACAGTGATATGTATATTCACAAAGCCTTATGCTAAACTTCACTTCTGGGCCGTGCAATACAGTACATTCCTCAAGATGACAGTCATTTTATCAGCAAATTCTTCCAGTTATCGCAGTTGCTGTATGCCTATATGGAGGACACAGAAAAGATAGGAACTTAATTTTACTCAGAGGTGCAAAGCAATAGACTGAGAAGTAATGGATTCAAGTTGGAACATGGGAAATTCTGATTAGATATTAGGAAGAAAAAATTACCTCGAGAATAGTCAAAAACGGGAACAGATTGCCCAGGGATGCTGTGAAATCTCCATTCTTTGAGGGGTTCAGTGCTCAAATGGACATGGTCCTGATCAACTGACCTATTTAGACCTGCTTTGAGCAGGGTATTGGACTAGTTCATTTCTGGAGGTCCCTTCCAAACTAAAATTATTCTACTGTTCTGTGGTATCTTTGCCACTAACTGGGCATGTCTAATGGGTGGATGTACTGTGCTCTCTGGACCAGTTTCTCAGGGTGGTGTACTCATTACTGTTTTGTGACCATCTAAGGATAGTTCTTCAAATGACAAGTGGACCACCTGACAGGCAGGGGGACTTTCATAGAATATGCTTATCACTATTCAGTTTGCTTGGCCTCTGTTTTTGCACCATGTGATTCAAGTTTTCCTGAAGACTCAATTCGTACATATCCTACCATCCAAATCCCTTTTTTCCTATGATACCTAATTATGCACCTTTGGGAATTTGGAGATTTCTCTCTTAGAGTGTCTGGATTCTTGCTATCTTCTTGTAACTTTTGGTAGGGAGGTAGTGGAATTATTTAGCTGTGAGACAGTTTCCCAAATTGAGCCATATGACTGCTTAGTGATATCCAGTGTTTGAATGTACATGTGGAACTTCTGCCCCCAAAAGAGAAGAGATTATTTATCTGAAATTAGTGTTCTTCAAGGTTTATATCTACACTTATATCCTTCTTGCCATTCCACTGTCTCCAAGATGGTTCTGCACTTAGAATGAATAAGATTTAGACATGCATCAAGGAAAAGGAGGCTTTACAACGCATAATTTAAAGATTCTGCAAAGTCTGACTTTCTGTTCCTGTCTTGTCTGGTATGCCCATTGGTAGAATCTGTGTGGCATACATCTCAAAGAATTGACTGATTACTGGTAAGAATACTGGTAATGATTTCTTCTTTTTCACCAGAATGTTAAACCAATTTGCAAGATGTGAGCTAACCATAAGAAGGTCAAAGGACAGCTGGTATATCTGTATAAATTCAATTCTACTCTATTTCTTGGAATAACTGGATTTGAGAGACTTGATATATGTCTGAATGTAGTATAACTTACATTGTTTTGATATATCAGCTGTTATGTAATTTGACAAAGAAATTGCTTATTTAGTGTTGTAGAAATAGTTTTTGACTATTGTAACTCCACTACTAATCTGACATATCTATTTATGGCTTTTTGAATTTTCACATTCATATTTAAGATTTGTGGTGGAAAAAGACTCAAGTTTTGTAAGGAACAGTCAATGCAAATTCTTGCACTCGTGAATCATTTTGTGACAGAATGATATAAGCTGTGTAGCAGCTTTTATATTTTATGAATATTAACAAGATCTAGCATTCTTTGGTACAGCCTATAAAATGATGTCATCTTGTGAAAGCAATTCCATAAAGCTGGATTTGATCTAGCCTCTTTGGTGCAAGGTCCTTGAATTTACATATAAGGTAACTTGACTTACTGTTTTTGCATCCTCGATGTTACAACATTTTTGAAGATAGGGAGAAAATGATACTTTTCTTGATCTGCAAAAATTATTTTAAAATCTTATTAGATGGATTTTTCACTGAGGTTTTCATCTAAGGTTACTTCACTTGCTTTAGTTTGGTCATTCTGTTTCCAACTTGTTTCTCAGGCTCTTCTTGTGAGGAAGACTTAGCTTTCTGTTTTTTAAATGCATTGCATTCTAAAATATGTTTAAACTTTTAAATTGAACTCAGCAAAACATGAAATTTAATTTGGCTCAATGATTTCTCAGCATGATAATTATTATATTTAATTGGATTGTAACATTCTTTTAATGCTATACTTTTAAAAATTTTTTCTGCTTCATCAAGCTTGCATAATGCTTGTCTTGCTTCATAATTGCTACCTGCTTTTCTTTAGTTCCATTAGGCATCAGTTGATTAAAATGGAGTTAACTGTAGTTTTCTTGTCTTTTTTCATCAATTTTTGTCAGAATCTTTTGAATCTGTATGCACATCTTCTAAGTTACGTGACATTTACGTTATTCTGTGAAAAAGGTCCCAATAAGTCTTTTCTACCTGACGATGATGTTTCAATATACCTTTTATACAGTGACAAGAACCTAAATCTGATAATGAGATGAAGATGATCTTTTTTTAAAAAATTTCCTTTTGAAGATAAAAGGACTTTCTTTACAAGAACTAAATGCTTAAAATACTTAGGAGTGTTAGCAGAATATAGGAGTGAGAAGAAGACAAGTTTAGAATGTGGAAAACAAAACAAAAAACCCCTCAATTTCTAAAGTTGTAACAGTATTGCAAGCCTGTGTACATGAAGGCTACTCAAATGAGGTAGTAAAACCTTGCCTTAAGCCTTGCTAAGGTCTCTGCTGTCTGAGAGAACATGTATTTATTAGTGTTGCCCCTGTGTCTTTGGAATAGTAGTAGCCTGTCTGTAGCGCTGAAATGGACTTCGCAAATGTGGCATGAACACAGTTTCCAACTTTGGAGAAACATCGTTAAAACCATCCACCAGGTCGTTGTAAACATTGAAGGAGTACTTCTGTAGACCTAGCTTGTATTTCTACCAACTGGCTCACTTATAGTTGATTCATAAGATTCATATTATCTTTATCTTATGAAAGATTCTTATCTCACTCTCTCCCTTTTTCTTTCTTTTTACTTCACTGTGTTCAAACATTTTGTATAGTTTCGATGGAGTATTTTTATCTTCGAGGGATTCATTTGTAGTAAGTTTTTAAAGTTTGAGTAGTATAAGAATGAACAGAAGGCTTTTTATCTCTGAAGAACATATTTTTCTAGATATTTTAAACAGTTTTGGTTATTTTTTTTTTAAATGTAAAGCTGTTAATCAACAGGTATCCATCTTTTATATATGACCAGTGGAAAGCAAAGTAGGTGTATAAACCACCCAGCTTGTAGTACTAAAAGTAATCGACTAAATACTTCTAGCAACTCAATTTGAGTTCTAAATGCTTTCCTTTCTTAATCAATGAAGCATTTTAGTGAGAGACTGAAGTTATCTGTTTGATGGAGGAGTATTTTCAGATGCACTTATTGAATTATTTGATGATTCCTTGACTAAGGCTGCTCATTATTAATGAGACTATATTTTCAATATAGTGATTGGAAAACAGGGCATAAATGACTATGGCATTAGATAGAGTGAAATAAAATCCTATGCCTGGAAAGGTGTTTGCACTTGTCTTTGAAACAGAAAGAGAAGAAAAACTATTACTATTCTGAACTTCTAATTCTATTAGGGCATGATATGAGTGTGGTCCATAATATTTGTTGAAACAATTTGTTAATGCGTAATTATGTAGCAGGTTCAGAAATCTGGCAATAGACCTGCTGTCGGAAATATCACTGGAATTCATTGCCCAAATTAGTGCAGTTGCTCTTGACCTACACTGTTTTAGTAGGATCAGTACTTTTAAAACTAAATACTTTGTTTTATTTTGTTTCTATTTTTGATTACTCTCTTGTTTTCCAAATATTACCATGTATTCCAACAGGAACTGGAGAAAGAAAGAACAGATCTTATTGAATATGTGACTATGAACAAAAGGAGGATTAAAGACCTAGAAGATAACCTTTTGTTCCGACTTACAAGCACTAAGAGTTCTCTGGCAGATGATGAGAGTCTAATAATTGTATTGAACAACACTAAGAAGACTGCTGAGGAAGTAACACAGAAACTACAAACTTCTGCTGAAACTGAAGTACAGATCAACTCAGCTCGTGAAGAGTACAGACCTGGTGAGTGAAGGTAGTGATGAAAGACAAATGACCAGAGCTTGTGATTAAAACAGCAATACTTCTAGAGTAAGAGAAATAGTAGGATGAGATCAGGAAGACCATAATGGGTGGGAAGGATCTGTGTTTTCCTGTAAGTAAAATGTGTCTATCTAGGAAATATCATATTAAGCTCTGGTGGAGAAAATAGTCAAAGTTATGCTTCATGTGGAATTTATAAAATGGAACAATTTGTTGTTTCCTAGACTTCCCATTGCTCTATATACAAGTGTACCTGTCCATCTAGTCTACTGGGTAAGAAACTTGGTAGTTCTTAGTTGCTCTTTTTTAGCTGTTAAAACGTTGACACTTTTTATGGACTGTCAATGACAGCAGTCATTAGGGTATTTAGGTAACTGTATGGTTGAGCTCAACATGTTGACATTCTTTTATGGGGCAGTATAATCATAAATGCTTTTTGTGTCTGTTTGGATGAATGCTTTGTTTATCCTGTCACAGAACCTTAAGTTACTATAGTCAGCACTTTTGGCTTTCAACTGACAGGTGAAAACATGTGAAAAAAGTGGGAAAAAAAAATGCTCTCTGGAATCAAGTGTTATATTTGCATTTTGGGAAATGAGTAAAATGGTACAGTTAGCGTACCAGAAATCATTGCAGATTTTGTAAAAACTTTGTATTTAAAACTAAATGACTGCTGAAAGTAAGTTAAATCAAGTCTGGGTAAGTTAAATCAATATAGTTCATTTGGCTTTTATATGACTCCTGTAAAAGTCTGTGAAGAGAAATTTGGATACTCAAAACTGTACTTCAAACCATCTTACTTTTTATATGTTCTGCTGATGATCTGAATATTGCAGTCTGCCATCCAGATGCTCTCCAAATGTCCTCATATTTGCAAACTGGGCTTTAAATAGTATGCATTAGTTACAGAAAAAAATATTTTTCGCCCTGATATATAAATGAGGATTAAATTAACATTTTAATTGGTTTTCTGGCCAGTAAAGAATGGAGCAACTCAAGGGTCTTCAGTTAGCATTAGTGTTAAACTCACTGTACTTGTTGTAGAGAGTTAAAGTTTTCTACTCTGCATTTCTACTTTGAATACAGTCTTGTTTCCTGTCCTTCAGTTGCAACTCGAGGTAGCATCTTATACTTCCTTATTACTGAGATGAGCATGGTCAATGTGATGTATCAGACTTCGCTTCGGCAGTTTTTGGGGCTTTTTGACCGCTCCTTAGCCAGGTAATTTAGCTAAGAATAAGTAGCATTTGTATTTACCCAGTCCTGGAGGTAGTTGTAATACAGTAAAGGTTTGTTGTAAACTAATGTCAGAAAGTGTTGCTTGTTACAATCTTGACAGGAATTGTCAATTTAAATACCCGTAAACCTTTGTCTGTTAGGTACCAAGGCAAAGAACCTTAAAATGTACTTACAGTCCTTAAAAATTAGGCATTAGGTAATTAAAACCCATTATACTGTGTTGATTTTCAGCTATGCAGAAAGGCTTGATTAGAAAGGAATATTTTTTTGTTGCTCCTTCAATGTGAAAGTTGTTGCTAGCTTGCTATCTGATATTCTGTGTTTGTGATCTATTATTTTTTCATGTTTTGAAAGTTCTAAACTATAGCTCTTTGTCTTTTACATAGTATTCCTGTTAATAAAGCCTATGCAAATTGACATTCAATTGTAGATGTTTCTTCCAACAGGTCTACCAAGAGCCCTATAACTAGCAAGAGGATTACTAATATTATTGAACATATGACATATGAAGTATTTAAATATGCTGCTCGAGGACTTTATGAGGAGCACAAATTTCTTTTTACGTTATTACTTACATTGAAAATTGATATACAAAGAAACAGAGTGAAGCACGAAGAATTTCTGACACTTATTAAAGGTTGTAACTATGGAACAATTTTAAGTAGAGCACATGTATTACCGTAGAAAATTTGTGAGCTGTAGTTCTATCTACTAGCCAACCTGCTGCTTCCTTTTGCACGTGAGAAGCCAGTCAATTGAAAGAATACATGCTTATAATTCTGTTCTGGTGAGAGGCAATGTTGCATGGTAGTTCTAATTTATAGCAGCACATTGAATATTGACAGATATAGCTTTGAGAATTGTGAGAATTTAAAAAGAAAATTGTTAAGTACCCTTTCAGTTGCTGTTTGTGTCTGCTGCTCAAATATCACCAGGTGTGTGTTTGACTTAGAAAAAATATTATTATACTAAAAATCTTTTAGTTTATTTGGTAACTGCTGGAGGATGAGCAAGCAAATAAGAACAGAAAGTGATGCTAACACTTTAAAAAACCATGAGAATCTTAGCTGAATGTGACAAGTTCCTGGCTTTAGTCTTAACTGCATGCAAGCACTGTGTATCTTCACTTGAAAGCTTGGAGTAATTTTGTATTACCTTTCCAAGATACTTGATTTGCCAGGCAACATTTATTTATGGATTATAACTATTCATTTTTCCATGTTGAATCTTCAGAATATCTTCTCCCAACAAACATTTATTTCCAGGCACATTGCACAAAGAAATAGCAAATCCTCAAAAAAGAAACTGGTTAACAAAAATTAAGTTTAAGTTACATCATAAAAAAAATTTAATATAAACTAACCAAACTACAAACTCTGCTTCACCAAAGATAGCATGACTTTATAAGGTAGAAAAATCCTGTAACTGCAGGATTAAAAATCTGGATTCTTGTAGCTTGTATTTTCTTTCTATTTTGTGTTCACTTTCTTTAGCTTCAGTTAAATTCCAAGGAAGGCAAATGTCCATATTGGCAAAGTTATTACATTATCTACAAAAAAAACCCCAAACCAACCCCCCCCAAAAACAACAAAAAGCAAAACCACATTGAAATTAAGCTTTTTCAGTTTTTTCTCCATAAACTCAAACTTATTGTTTTAAAGTAAAAAATAGATTTAGCTTGTAATGGGAAGCTGTTACTGATTTACAAAAAATACGTTTTGTAATAAGGTGAATAATAGGATTTGAAAATAATTTTTTTATGTTACCTAGCTTGAAAATCTCTGATCAGCGTCCGTAGTTATTAAGTAGCCTTTCTCCAGACTGTGAAGTCTTAATCATAGGAAGTAGTCTTGCAATATCCAGTTTACGTTTTCCAAATGGGTCCTGTTTTGGGGTGGGGTTTTTGGTTGTTGTTTTTTGTTTGTTGGTTTTGGGGGTTTTTTTTGTCCTCTGGGTGACTCTAACTGTTTTAATTATAACTAATTCCCAATTTCTTGCAGGCGGTGCTTCGCTAGACCTTAAAGCTTGTCCTCCTAAGCCAGCTAAATGGATCCTGGATATGACTTGGCTGAACTTGGTGGAGCTCAGTAAGCTTGAACAATTTTCAGATATTCTTGATCAAGTAAGTAGGAGCTTTGTAAAATGCATCTCTTGTTTGACAGTGATCATCTGGTAGTGATCAAGGCTTGTGGTGGGAGACTAGTTTATAGAACAGAATGAAACTGACAGCAGGTAGCCACAGTTGTGGCCCTGGCTGCTTAGCAAGCTGTATTGATAAAAAGACTTAAAACCCCCTAGGAAAATAAGAAGAAAGTAGAACATTTCACACCCTATATAATTATGATACTTTTAGATTGGGATACAACTTTCTATTATCCAATTCACATAGTGCAACTTGAATCTTATTTCAGTTGTTAGACTTTCTTGCATCCCTGTTGTGCTTTCTTACACTATATTTTATGATGCTTGTTCCAGTATTTCTCTGATTACATGGAATAAGAGTTAGGGAAAGGGTGTTCAGTAAATTCAACACTTCTATGAATAGTCTTAATGGACACTACGTGTATGGTAGCTAATGAAGTAAATAGCATTTGGTATACGTGGAGAGTACCTTCTGTACAGTCATATGGGGAGCAGCTATGTACCTAGTGTTCTCAAAGCTGTATGTGAGCCTAGCTGTCTGTGTTCTGACCTTGCTGTGCCATTATGCCATTAATGGAAAATACTGAGTGGTAGCTCATTTTTTCAGAATATGAATACTTAAGGGCATTGTTGTATTCTACAACTTTGTACTTAAAATCTCAAAGCTTATCCTCTCTTTTTTTTTGATAGCCTTACTAAATCTGTGTACTAACATTGCTAAACAAATGCCTGTGTGTGGATTACATGTCTCTGCCCATCATTAAAACTTTGCAATCTAGTGGCAGTTGAAATGTGACTTGTCTCTTTAGTGAGATTTACTCCTTTGATGATATAACTGCAGATTTCCAGAGCAGAGAAACAGTGGAAAATCTGGTTTGATAGTGAGAATCCTGAAGAAGAACTGGTTCCTAGCGGCTATGGTCAATCCCTGGACTGCTTCAGACTACTTCTTCTTATCAGATCCTGGTGTCCTGATAGGACCATAGCTCAGGTACATTTATATAGCCAACGTAGTCTATTTAGATGTCATTAGAATAACAGTTACAGGATTAAAGTTCAGTACTTTTTTTATTTAATGCTAAACTTCTTTTTGTAATGAACCTTTACACTGAGTTTTATGAAATTATTTTCAGACAACTTATGCATTTGTTACAAGGGCAGTGTTAGCAAAATTATTCCCACTTACTGAATGAATATTAACCAATGTTTTTACTATAGAGATAGGATTTAATCTGGAAACGTAGGTGTTTATCCAGTTCTGCCTTATCAGTTCAGAAGTTATTTTTGACTGTCCTTCTGATGTTACTCACTGAAATTGTAGAATTGTCCTCATCTTAGGCTGAAGTAAAATCTTTTCATGAACACAGTTGGCTGAGAGAAAACAAAACATGAAAACAATTTAACTGAGGAACCATTTCTTGCATGCAAGAATTGGACTCACCTTAGAAAAATCTGTAGTATGGTCTGTTCAAAATTTTTAATTTAAAGCCATCTGTTTAGAAAGGAGAGAAATATAAAATTAAAGTTTACTGAAGTCTGAATGCATCACTAAAAGTGTGGTACTAATTTTATGGATGCATACCTTTAGACATTGTGACTAGACTTGGAGAAAGTCTCAGCAATTATTGGTGTAACTATAGTCAATAGAAGGTTAAGTGGTACTGTATAATGAATCTGTCGGATATGTGCTATGTGTCTGAAACAGATCATACAAAATTAGTTCCTCAGTTCTGTTAATGGGGGCAAGATACACTTTCATCTTACGATGGTTTTATGAAAACTGATAGTTTGTCAAATGCTAAATGCTGAATATCTTTTGTCTCTGAGAAGTAACCCGGAGGTATTAAGGGAACATTGGTCTAAAACAAAAGCAATGTAGTAGAAATGAATACAAGAAAGATCATCTCAGACTGCTTGAAAGAGCCTTTCTATTTCTCAGTAAAAAAGAACAATAATCTAACAAATTTCAAAATAAATAAATAAGCAATAACAGAGATGGTCTTGACCTGTTCCTCTAGATCTTCTACTTAGTGACAGTTATTTTCATCATTACTACTATAAATTCATTGTTTGTTTAAGCATGAAGGTGGGAAAGACCTAACACCTAAGCCTATCTTCCATCCTTTCCTCCTTTTTTCTCTAGAATTTGGAAAGGAAAGCTAGTTTTTAAGGTTAGGAGTTTTGCTATCTAATGGAGATACCATCTTTAAATCGTTAAAACCTTTCTAAAGGTTTAATAGGGTTATTATTTGTATTATACTATATTTGTAGGTATTATGTATAACAATACATGCAGATATATGTAACATAATTTTTTAACTGATAAGGCTGTACAAAATAACACCTTCAAAGACTGTATGATATGTTAACATGTAAAAAATAAATTTGTTGCATATTTGTATTTCTGATATAAATTTACAGCAGCCTTTGCTCTTCAGTTTACTTATTGGTTGTATTTACACTGGGAAGAAAACAGTATTAAATGATTATGTGACAGGTTAATTTACCCTTTTTGATATAGGCAAGAAAATACATCATTGACACTATGGGGGAAAAATATGCAGAGGAAGTCATCTTGGACTTGGAAAAGACATGGGAAGAGTCAGATCCACGTACTCCTCTCATAGGCTTTCTTTCCATGGGCTCTGATCCTACGGACTCAATCATTGCTTTGGGAAAAAGACTGAAGACAGAAACACGTTATGTTTCTATGGGCCAGGGGCAAGAAATCCATGCTCGTAAACTTCTACAGCAGACAATGGCTCATGTAAGAGACAGAAATCTGAATGTTTTTTGTATATTTACTAAACACTTAGAAATGAAAATCCTGTCATGAAATAAAGTTGTTTAGTGCGTAGTTAATGCTGATGCAAGAACCTGTATTTATTTGTATAAATAAGTGTCCTAAACAATGGATCTGTCTTTTCACAGTCATTTAATTTGCTATAACAAGGTTTTTGATACTGTAGAGGCACCAGTGTTTTTCATATAAAATGGAGTTTTTGTTGTAGGTTGTTAACTGATGAACATAGCTGAATTGATTGTTTGGATTGCATGAATATTAAATATTCATCAGCAAGCATTTCACAAAATTTTTTCAGTTTTGTATTTTTAGTAATAGAAACATATTTTGTTAAATGAAGATTAATTCCAAACATAATGTTGATAGTTACATAACCTTGAGAAAAACAAGGCTGTATAGCAAAATATTTTGTATTGCTGTAGTCTGGATTTTGAATTGGCATGGGCAGTCTGATAGCACAGGCATTTTACAAGTGAAACATGGAAGAATTAAAGAATAAAATTTCCTGTATGAGTAAGAAAAGGTGAGATGTTCCAGTTTACCATGTTTTGCCCATCAGGTGGTAGTAATGCTATGCATGCTGATGTGAACAGATTAAATTTCTTGCACTCCTGTGTTATGAGCTTCTCCCCTGTCTGTATAATCAGTTTTCCTCTGACTTTTGCCTCAGATTCTTGGTTGACAACTTCACATTAAGAGCTAATTAGGAGATCAGATGAGAAGAAACTCATTCAAAAAGATAGTGAAGAAGTGCTCCTTTTGTTTAGTTAAGAGAAATGCAGTTACTTTCCCTCAGTGTTTCACATATCCTCTTAATGAAGAAGTATGTGAAATGTCTATATGAATTATGGTAATTGATATGAGAGAGTTTGATATCTATGGATTGTTAGCAATAGATTAAGTATGTATATTTGGTGATTTTCCAAGCCTGTGACCCTTGTAAGGAGCAAGGTTTAGCAGCTTGCTCTGTGGAACTACTTCTGAGCTCCCTTATATAAGTCAAGATTTATCAGTGTTTATGAGCACTATAGTCATGTCCAGGTATGTTTTAAATGTACTGAAATGGAAAAGGTAGGGACTACTTGAGAAGGCTAGATTGGACAAGTAAGGAACACTTGCTGAGATGATAAAACCAATCAAGTTAACAATGCCTCCAGAAGCAACAGCCCACAGGTTAGCTCACATGAGCTTTATTTTGGAGAAAAAAAACTTTGTTAATTGCATGTGTACCATTACTATAGATACTGGCCTCTGTACATGAAATGTACGTGAAATAAAATGATTAAGGCCTTGTTTTTGATTTGGTGAGACAGTGGTGCAAAAATTGTTCCTTTAACAGTTCTGATAAGCACTTAAACATGTTATATTTTGCTGTTGCTTAGATGTGTTGGCTTTGTGTCTAACCTACAGCATAAACAGAGTGATTTTAGTGGTTTCAATTTGTAAACAATGTTGATAACTTTATATTCTATTGTTTTAAACTAGGGAGGCTGGGCACTACTGCAAAACTGCCACCTTGGACTTGATTTTTTGGATGAGTTGATGGACACTTTAATAGAGACAGAAACTGTCCATGAAAGCTTTCGACTGTGGATGACAACTGACATTCACAAACAGTTCCCCATTACCCTTCTTCAAATGTCTATCAAGTTTACCAATGAACCACCACAAGGGCTCAGAGCTGGACTAAAGAGAACATATAGTGGTGAGTGCTAGAGTGGTAATGATTTAAAATTAAATTTTGCTAATCTTTGAACTCTCTGGTGTTATCACGTGGTCACGTTGTAGCCACTTATAGTAGATGCAAGGTACTATGAGGAACTGATCACAACAATGTCAGGACTCATCTTGATACTTGGTTTGAGCTAAACATTGTGAAAATTAAAAGGAAGAGAAGATCTGCTGAAGTTCTGTTGCCAGAACTAACTGGACAGCAAAACAGGAAATGCTTTTTCTTTTCTCACATTGGCTTCTAATATCTCAGTTCAAAGTGTTTAAATTTTTAATCTTCTTGTGTCTTTTTGGCAGAAAAGCAACATATTAATCTTTGTTGGCTATTAAGTGCTCTTTACATTGCAAAAAAAAAAAAGTCTGTGCAGAAAGCAACTTAATGGGAATTCAGCTATTAGTAAATTGTTGGGTTTTTTTCCTGATGCTTCCTTTATTTGAAGAAAGTTGCTAATTTGAGCAACTTAATAACATGTCATTAAACTACCTCCAGCATAGAACGCTTTGTAGGACAATAACTTACTCTTGGGAGAGGCAAAGAGCCAACTGAATATCTCTAGGAGTGATGTTTTAGCACTGATTTGAAGTGAGTTTGGAAATACTATTACTATGTGTCTTATAAAGCCCACTTACAATCAACAGGTGTCAGCCAGGATTTACTAGATGTCAGCGACATGGTACAATGGAAACCAATGTTGTATGCTGTAGCCTTTCTACACTCCACTGTTCAAGAAAGACGCAAGTTTGGATCTCTGGGTTGGAATATACCTTATGAGTTTAATCAAGCTGATTTCAATGCTACTGTGCAGTTCATTCAAAACCACTTGGATGGCACGGATGCCAAGAAGGTAATTAATGTTTTTGTGGGGAAAGTGGATTAGGGTGATGGATCTTTCTACTTAGTGGAATGTATATACGTAGTTCCCAATAACTGAAACGCAAACATGATTTTAAATTATTCTTTTGTTTCTTTCCACGAACATTCAACATTCCAAGGATACATGTCTGTAGAGCTGCAGGCTTAAATTAGACTTTTATTCCTGTGCATGTTAAATTTCTATATTAACCTTGTCCTGGTTCTGGCAAGGATCGAGTTAATTTCGCAAGGAGCCAGGACAGGTGAGCCAAGCTGGCCGGGGGCTATTCCATGCCATGTGACGTCATGCTCACCATAAAAGGGGGCTAGTCGGTCAGGGGCGGGCTTGGCGTGGCTCTGGGACCGGTTGAGCGTCGGGTGGGTCGGTCCTGGGATAGGTAAAATCGTTCTCTGTTATCACCCATTGTTACTATCTGTTATCAGCACTGTTGTTGATTGCTTCCCTCTCCCTTGCTGTCCCAGTAAACTGCCCTTATCCCAACCCTCGAGGCTTTGCAGTTGTTTTTCCGTTCTCCTCCCCATCCTGCCGGGGGAGGGGTGAGCGAGCGGTGCATGGCACTTAGCTACCGGCTGGGCCTAAACCACGTCAAACCTATAGATTAAAGAAAAAAAAGTCCCTCCCAGTTGTCTCCCCAAAAAACTTCAGAAGTATAAACCTTAGAATTACAGATCTTCTTTTCAATGATAATTATGTCAGATAGTTAAAAATGGACCACTGTATTTAAAATATTCTTTTGTTTAAATCTATTCTGAGTAAAAATATTAAAATTTGGCTCCTCCAACCTATCTTGGCAGCATAAAGAAATTGTAAGTGACTTTAAATGACTATGAAAGAATTCCTCTTAGATTTCTCACTTTCATATGGTCACTTGTCCTATAGAGGTCTGTGGCAGATCACTTCGCAGTTGACATTGTAAGTGAAGTTGAAAGCATGGTTGGAATGTAGCTGTATCGCTCTTGCCCAGATGCTAGAATAGCCTCTTGAATTAGTTGTCAATGAATTCTATTTTGGGAAATCCTTGGAGGTGTTCTGGGAATGCAGGGTTACAGGAAAAAAGAGTAGTAAGAAAATAACTTTCTTCCAAAAGGGAAATAGATGCAGCACTTGGTGTATCAGCTGTTCTTACTAAGGGACATGTAAATAGGTGAGAAGAGATTTAGCTGAAGTCAATGCGTTCTACTTGGTTTTAGGGGATCTCCTGGAGTACTGTTCGTTACATGATAGGTGAGATCCAGTATGGTGGCCGTGTGACAGATGACTATGACAAAAGACTCATGAACACTTTTGTAAAGGTTTGGTTCAGTGAAAATACATTTAGTCAAGAATTCAGCTTCTACAAAGGATACAGCATACCCAAATGTACCATGGTGGATCAATACCTTCAGTACATACAGGTTGGTAAATGAGCACTTTTCAACACAAAAAACCCTAATTGACTGCTTTCTCACGAGTTCCTGCGTACTTGTATTTTGTCTCTTATTCACAGATTATTTATTGTTTTCTAGCAGTCTGCATATCTGTTAGTGACAACTAATTGTTGTCATCAATGTTAAACATCATCATGATGGGAATCTTTTCTTTTTCATGTGATTTGCTTGAGGGACCTGCCTGAAGGTATACAGTTATTAAAGAGGGCAAAGAATGGAGTCCAGACATTGGGTACAACCTCACAGAAAAAAGAGGTGTACATATATGAAAGTACAAGCTGACTATTAAAATAGCGTATAGATGTTAAACCTGAATTTGTTGTTAACCTTGGTGTGATTTGGGCTGTAACATGATAAATAGATCACAGCAAGTTATTTGCTTTAAGACTATTTGAAGAGACCTAGCCTCTTTACGATGTAAGGGGTGCGGTTTGGGGTTTTTTTTGGTGTTAGTTATTTGGGTTTGATGTGAGTTTTGTTGGGTTTTTTTGTTTGTTTGTTTTTAAATAATTAGCTAATAAATCCATTTCCAGTTGTGCTCTTTTTATGTTTTACTATGTAGAGTCTTCCTGCTTATGACACACCAGAGGTGTTTGGTTTGCACCCCAATGCAGATATCACTTACCAAAGTAAACTTTCCAAAGATGTATTGGACATTATCCTCAGTATTCAGCCTAAAGATAGCTCTGCTGGAGGAGGCGAAACCCGAGAGGCAGTTGTAGCCAGACTGGCTGATGATATGCTGGAAAAGCTTCCTGATGATTATGTACCATTTGAGGTCAGTTAATTATATTCTGTCAAAAACATTTGCTCCATCTTGCTTTGTGTTTATATATTAAAAAAAAACCCCATAATGATACTATTTTTTCTAAAAGCATGTCTGAATTAATTCATACATGCAATACTTCAAAAATGTATTTTAAAGAAGTCTAATCAGACTTAACCTTTATAATGAAGTCACTAAATGTGCGCTGAAGTGCTTTTGTAAGAACTTTTTCAAAATATTAAACCACTGATGCTTAAGTTGTCATTTGCACTATGGGGGAGGTAGGATCATCAGCTTTTGACTAAGGTTGTTGACACTGTAGACAACTGAGGTCGTGTTGCAAGTGTACTCATGCTTCTAAAAGTATTACTGCTTTAACATACGTATTATTTTGGGATTCAGCTTATATCCTGAAGATATTTTTAGGTTGCTTTCTTCTTCAATGAAGTGAGTCTGAAAAGCTTGTCAAGTGATAGCTCTCATTGACTGAAGCCTAGCGTTAGTATCTCGGGATTCATATTAACGCACAACAGCCTATGTAACTATGTAATGGACACCTGCTGCCTTGCAGCCATCTCTTTTCTGAAATAGCAACTTTCCTTCTGTTTATGTGGAAGATGGAATGACTCTCAAGGTGAGAGGATTTTCTTACAGTTTGAAAACCTTTACTGATGACTGGTAAGCTCCAATCTGATACATGAACACTCTAATCGACTATATTCTGTGTCCCCATCCTGGAGACTGCAGTTTGAGTGTTTGGACAATTTGTGTTGTTTCTGGGTCTTTCCATAGTTCTTAGTTCTCCTTTAGAGCCCTAGAACTTGAGGATGCTGACATTACAGTTCTTCCCAGGTGAGGCTGGTTATGAACTTCAAATAAATAAGAGGAAAATCCTTGTAAAATAGGTATGATTCCTACATTTCCTGTATCAGAGGATGCCTGTTTTATGTTTTCTGTAGCCAATTTTGTATTACGTAATCTTCCTTCCTTCAAGTGGCATAATTACGATAATATATTTTGTCTGAATGGATGAGTTAACATATCTGTATTTGGAATACTGATTATCGAGCAATCTTCCAAAAGTTTGCACTTGATGAAGGTTCTGACCTACTGTCTTTCTAGAAGCCTGAGCTTTATGACTTTCCAAAAAGCTGAACCAGGTGTCTGAGATCTGCAAAGGATTGCAATTTGTTGAGTTTCTCAGAAGGGTACTACTTTAGTGATGGGTTAAATCTCAAGGTAATTGTTAGTTCAGCTCTCTTCAAATTCTACTCAACATTTCCAGGAATGTGGCTTAATAAAGACATATATTACATAGTGTCATTGTATAGCTAGAGTTAGCCCTGTTGAGTTTGCAAGAACTCTTTTTGGGCAGATCAGATCTGATCAGAAATGACAAATAGAAATTTGGTTTGTATTACTGAAAGTGAATGTGGAGCATGAAACTTTTTCACATGGTGAAAACTATTTAAATTCATTTTTGTGTAGCAAAATACTGATGAACTTAGAAAGGTTATGCATATTACTAAGAATAGGACTGTTACCCTGTATAGGATTCAATAGCTGTTATTGAATTAGCTGAATTTTTTCACCTGCCTCCCAATAGGACCGTTATGACTAAAAAATTTCTAGTTATGTCCATACAGTTGTTGGCAATTTGTTAACTTTGCATTTTCGATTAAAGCTATATCAGCAAGTTTTATTAGGATACAAGATTGCCTGGCATTGTGGTAGTTCCTAGGTATTGCTGATAAATAGTGCTACTATGCTGAGGCAAACTGGCTCAGGCAATCACTCTTGATTGGTTTGTACAAAGCGAACCTTGGGAACTGTCGGTTGGAATTAAAGCTGAAATCCTTGAAATGGGGTATGGCCTACATGCTGTTTAATTGATGTTAGCTCATAGAATGATATACAGACTAAATCATGAGTTAAACTAAAAACATAGCCAATCTGCGCATCATAGATTTCTCTTGGAACAAATCCTGTAATTCTGTCTTGCAGAGGATTCAAGGAAGATGCCAAACTGACCATTTAACTTCCTAAATAAAAGTATTATATCTTAAAAATTGTATTGGGGCCTATCCTTGACATAGTCACCTTTGTTTTTCGCTTCTTTTGAAGGATCTTTGGTTTTCTACCTACAGGTAAAAGAGAAACTAAAGAGCATGGGACCTTTTCAGCCTATGCACATATTTTTGCGACAGGAGATTGAACAAATGCAGAGAGTAATTTCCTTAGTGAGAAGCACTCTGACTGATCTAAAACTTGCCATTGATGGGACAATTGTTATGAATGAAAATCTGAGGGATGCCTTAGACTGCATGTATGATGGAAGGATTCCTGCTAGCTGGAAAAAAGTAGGTGTTCATCACTTGTTTTGTAAGGAAAAAAAAAATTCTGTAGAGCTAGATTAAACTGCTAGACATAAATACTTTTTTCAAACACAAGTGTTAACTGGGGCTGTGCAACTGCTGGAGCAGATTTTGGGCTAAAATAAACACAGTGAAAACAAGCCCTCTTTCATTTATAAAAATAGAAATGAATGTGTGAGATGCAGGTATTTCCTGTTTTAACAGCCTGTTGCATATTGGCAGGATAAAAAGCTAGAAAGAAGACAATAATTTAAAATGTCATGATGGATTTTAAAAAATAGCACCCACAGTAGTGGATTATACTGTTAATATTCCTTGAGATTAAGATTTGTAATCTTAATCACAGAATAGTAGAGGCTGGAAGGGACCTTTGGAGATAATCTAGTTTAACGTCACTTCTGAAAGCAGAGTCAATTAGAACAGGTTTCCTGGAACTCTCCAGAATTGAGTCCATAACCTCTCTGGGCAACCTGTTCCAGTGTTTGATCGCCCTCACAGTAAAAAACAACCAACTAACCAACCAAAAAACACCATAAGTTTAAATGGAATTTCCCACATTTCATCTTGTGCCTATTGCCTCTTCTCCTACCACTGGCAAGGATCTGGATCCATCTTCTTCCATTCTCCACAGATGACATATAAACATTGATAATATCTCCTCTGACCCTTCTCTAGGCTAAACAATCCCAACTCGCTCAGCCTCTCCCCATAGAAATGGTTTTCAGGGACAACTAGAGCTGTTAATGGCAACTGATGGAAAGAAAAATGGGGAGGGTTTTTGGTGTTTGCTTGTTTTGTTTTTATTGACATGGTGTCTTCATCATACAAAACCTAGACCAAAGCAGATGCTTCACAACGCAAGTATGATACAACTATTCAAAGAGAAAAATGTTCATAAATCTTCAGAGTCCAAGCTCAGTTTTCTTTAGCCCCCCAACCCCCCCACCCCGAAAAAGCAGAATAGTTTTGGCAGAAGTCCTGTTATCGCAATGCATTGACCTTGGCTTTAGAAAGCCACGTATACAATATTTCTTCCTAGTTTACACGGCTATCTAATTTTGCAAAAACAACATAAAATGAACAATTACCACAGGGAGCATTATGCATGTCTAAATGGAATGGTAGGCATGATTTTGAACAGAGCAAGAATTTGCTTCAGATTTCAGTGAGATGCAACATTTATCTATGAGGTTAAAAGTTAAGGTATGTAAAATGAGATTTAAATATGCTTTGCTAATATTATATTGTATGCTACCTTGAGAGGAATTACCTTTTGTTGACATGAATATGATGTTTTAAAAGTCTTGAATAAAATTAAAACATGAACATGCTGTTTACTATTTTTAGGCATCTTGGCCTTCCAGTACACTTGGTTTCTGGTTTACTGAGCTTCTAGAAAGAAACCACCAGTTTTATAATTGGATTTTTGAAAGCCGACCAAACTGCTTCTGGATGACGGGGTTTTTTAATCCTCAAGGATTTTTAACTGCAATGAGGCAGGTAAACGGTGTTTAAAGTCTCACTCTGTTTATTCTTTGATATACTAAAAAAAAATAAATACTGTGTGATTAAGGCTGCGTTATACACGTGGTTTCCTCATGTCAGCAGGGAAGATACATGACGGCATAACTGTCTAACATTTCCTGAGTGAAGTGTTCTTCCTCTGCACATACTTTTTCATTATATCAACCACTTGTGTTAAAATATATTTCCTGCTTTGACCAAGCCCCATGTATGTAGGGGCTACCTTACAACATTATTAAGCTAGATTGGAGAAGTAATGTCTCATGTTGCCATTGAGATATCCCTGAGAAGAGCTGTTAAGCCCATGAATTTATTTTCCTTTCTTCCCTTCCTTTTGATCTGTGTTCAGTACTTACCTGGCTGGAGACTTGCCAGAACAACTATTCAGAATTACTCTTAAATTGCACTTCTGCAGTTCAGTAGCTGATTCGGTCTCTCTTCATGAAGTGGGAAAAAGTTTCCTTTATTAATGCCTAAGTATGAAGTTTGATGTATTTGTTAATGTATGTATCTCTGTTGATGATTGTGTTGGTTGCTCAGCATGCTAGTTGCAATGGACAAGTGAGTGACTTTTTACTTTAAAAAGACACAATAAGTATCTACATTGGTTGGAATAAAGGGACACATTGGAGATAATATATGTCTGGAATCTGTAAACCTAGGAAAGAATACTCAGGTGGAATCCAATGGGAGCTCTCCTCCAAAAGCCAACTTTTGGAGGAGAGAATGAAGAGTTGCAGAGAAGGAAAATCTCCCTTCTTGCTCTGAGGTCTGGGTAGTGTAATCTTTGGCTGTCAGATTGAAGTTCTAATTGGTGATCTACTAAAATTGCAGGTATATAGACTTGGAATTATATAGCAAGATATTTCTTTTGAGTAAACAGTCCTAAATTGGGATTTTCTTTTGGACTCAAGCTTGTGGAAAGGGTGTAGTAGCAGGATCTGAAACGATTGGAATCTACAGAATCTTCTGGTTCCCTAAAAAGAGAATGTGGGTACATAACAACCTAATGTCCTAAGCAAAAACCACAGTGACTTTTAGTTTTGCGATGTGGTGGAACAAATAGAAATGAGAAAGATGAGGAGCCAGAATAATCATTGAACTATAACTCTTCTGCTCTTTTAAAGCAGCTAATTAACTGCAGTATCGGAAAAATATTAATTCCAATTACTTCAAACAAAGATCTTGGAAAACATTTACAAGACCGCAAAAAAACTTAGATCTGGCGTAACTTAATGGTTTGGGATAGTAAGGGATTGGGCAAGATAAAGGAGTGTTGTCCAGTGCCCTAACTGACTAAATTTGAAGTATGTGTTGAATCTTAAGCATGTCTGTTTTCAAGTGTTCTCTGTGGTTTGTTTTTTTTTTTGCAGTCTTTTTATGTAGCTTTAAAGCTGAGTGAGCTCTTAGTTATTATTAAGAATAAAGTTAATGAAGAGTATAAGGTACAGGAAAAGGAAGGTAACCCCAGAAAATATGCACCGAATTATGCATTTTGTTTTTGTCGTTGAAACTGTTTTACTTAGCACATGCAGTTAATGTTTTCTTATCTCATGAAAGCTATGAGATTTTCATATTTTCAAGAGTTACCATTGACATTCAGTGGTTATGTTACTTGGTATGATCTTAAGACACTGTATATAATAGAAAGATTGAAAATCAAATATAGTGGATAAAGTACTGAAAGCTTTCTTGTAGTACCATGCTATTACTAGCTTAGAAGTCAAACTGCTGTAAACACAGATATCATAAAAAGTTAATTTTCTTTGTATTGAAGAGGATAAGTTGTGACCATACAAATATGTTCCTAATAAATGCTTGGAAAAAATGGATTTGCGCACATGTAAAAATGTAACCTCCATGCTTTTGTCTATTTTGGGCAGGAAATAACAAGGGCTAACAAAGGATGGGCTCTTGACAGTGTAGTGCTGTGCAATGAGGTCACTAAATGGATGAAGGATGATATCACAAGCCCTCCTTTGGAAGGTGTCTATGTATATGGGCTGTATTTGGAAGGAGCTGGTTGGGACAGAAGAAACATGAGACTGACTGAATCTAAGCCCAAGGTGCTCTTCGAGATGATGCCAGTTATAAGAATATATGCAGAGAATAACAGTAAGTAAAAGAGTGTTATTTTGATAGAATTTAATGTAACATTTTCTTCAACGGCATGGAAGTCATGCCAACCATGTCCTGGGCTGCATCAAAAGAGGTGTGACCAGCAGGTCAAGGGAGGTGATCCTGCCCCTCTACTCCGCTCTTGTGAGACCCCACCTGGAGTACTGCGTCCAGCTCTGGGGGCCCCAGTACAGGAGAGACATGGAGCTGTTGGAGCGAGTCCAGAGGAGGGCCACAAAGCTGATCCGAGGGCTGGAGCACCTCTCCTGTGAGGACAGGCTGAGAGAGTTGGGGTTGTTCAGCCTGGAGAAGAGAAGGCTCCGGGGAGACCTTATAGCAGCCTTCCAATACCTGAAGGGGCCTGCAGGAAAGCTGGTGAGGGACTGTTTGTCAGGGAGTGTAGTGACAGGACAAGGGGTAATGGGTTTAAGCTGAAGGAGGGTCGATTTAGATTAGATGTTAGAAAGAAATTATTTACTGTGAGGCACTGGCACAGGTTGCCCAGAGAGGTTGTGGCTGTCCCGTCCCTGGAAGTGTTTAAGACCACGTTGGATGAGGCTTTGGGCAACCTGGTCTAGTGGAGGGTGTCCCTGCCTGCAGCTGGGAGGCTGGAACTAGATGATCTTTGAGGTCCCTTCCAACCCAAACCATTCTATGATTCTATGAAGTCTTTTGGGCTTTAGGGATTTCATGAGGCTGTCTCTATTCATTATATACATACTGAATCTTTTTCAAGGGGGGAGACTTCCCAGTCTTCCATATAAAATGAGCTTTCACCTTTCCTTGATAATTGATAATAGGCATCTTTTTTCCTAATATTTACATAGATCTCTGTCTTCTAGTCTTAATTTTTAAACCCGTTACAGATGACTATTCTGTCTCCTCTGACAAATATGCTTGTATTGAGTCTTCCATTGATAGTGTATGTCCTTGATTGAGAAGATCAACATTTGTATACATAAACTCTGTAAGCTCTGTAGCCTCTGTAACCTAAACCCAAATAAACGCTTTCCCACATCCCAAAACCCAATGTAATTATGTATAGCTCTCTCTATAAAACTTACATAAGGATGCATACACCATATAAATATAAAAATATAACATGCTATCCATAAATATCTTACATAAGTTATATATGTAACGTGCATATTTATAAAAATGCTCTTTTCTGGACAAGGCTATTTTTGAGCTAAAAGAAACAAGCAAGAGATGGAGTGAGGTGGTGGAAGATGTTTTGTCTTTGAGGCTAAAAAGGACTGTAAGAATGGAAAGGAAACTTATGGGGCTGAGGGATAGTGCTGTTTTGTGAAAATGTATAATTTAGGTTAATGTGGGGGTTTTTTGCATATAAAACAGGAAATACTGTTGAATAGGGATGTAAAATAGGATAGGGCTATCCAATGTTGAATGTAAAATTGGAAATTTCTGTGGAAAGGCATTCCACCTCCAAAAGCAAAGCCTGCTTACATGCTATTTTGCCAGGATTTTGTGTAGCTGGTTTTTGATAAGAGGCATGATTACTGTGAAAGCAGCCAAGATACTAAATAATGAACACTGACGCATTAAGCACGACTAAACTACAGTTCTAATTCTGCAGTGAATAAGTTGACAATTTATACTCTGAAATACTAAATGCCTTTCAAAATAGGTTGTTCAAAATAGGGCATTTTTAATTTTGACACATTAATAATGTATTGACAAGAAGTAATGTTCAGTGGACACATTGAACTAATAGTAACGCTAATCACACTAGAGTGTCCATTTACATTTCTTGCTACATCCAGTTCCTAGGTGCTGATGTTAAACCTTAAACCTACAGGAATTTCAAGCCATATGTGGCCTTCAGCTGGCAATAAACCAGTAGTGAACAGTGTGAGAATCAAGTAAGAGTTTTCTTTGGTAGTAATGGAGAGCTGTGTGCTGCTGAACTTCAGTCAGTTTTACATTTATGCCCAGTCCCTTTTAGGGCCCTGGTTGTTCAACCTAGTTTCGTTGTTGTTTATGTCTCTTTTGTCTTTTCAGCTTCAAAAGATCCACGTCTGTATTCATGTCCAGTCTACAAAAAGACCATTCGAACAGATATGAATTACATTGCTGCTGTGGATCTTAAAACCCTTCAGCCCCCAGAGCACTGGGTACTGCGTGGGGTAGCACTTCTGTGTGATGTCAAGTAATGTTTAAAAAAAAAAAAAAAGAAAGGTTTCTAGGAGTTCTTTTCTGTTTTTAAATGTAAACATCAATATGTAGTTAGCTATAAAGTGCATAACTTCTAAAAAATATACTTTCTAAAGCATAGACTCCATTATGGTATTTTTAGAAAATGGTTCTCAATAAAACTGTACAATAGGCTTATAAAGGATAAATCTTAAAGTGATATTAAGTTTGGTAAATAGATTGAAGTACTACCTTTGATGTCCTGACAAATCATGACAAATATGTAGTGTGCCTATCTCACTATTGTGTACTTAATTTTACCTCGAATAAAGATTGACTTGAACATTGTTACTTTTCAGTGGTAAATATGCTTGTACCAGAACTCACCTCCAAGTAGCTAAAGGCAAAACTTTTTCTTTTTTTCTTTTTTTTTTTTTTAATTGTGTGTATCTATGGAGAGATAAGCCCAGTTGCCCATTCACATTAGTTAATATCCCTCAAGATAATATTCCAAGATTTATCTCCTAGCTGATAGTTTCTAGTTTTCTTGCTGTCTAAATAAGGAAGGTGAGACTGGAGAAATATCACACCTGTATCACCACTTGGAGAACAATTGCATTGTGTTACATAGGAAAACAAGCATTTCATATCTGTCAGAATTCCTTTGTATCTGGCTCATGACCTATAAATATATAATGGATAGGAAGAAAATAGTTCCATAAGAATGCTTGGATATTTTTTCATGTGCTAAAACACCAGATTTGAGTCAATCTTCATCAAGGTTATTAGTTTTATGACATCAGTTTTAGCTTTGTTTCTGTTCTAATTTTGCAGTGTTGTGATTTTATATATTGTGGGGTTTGTGGGTTGTTTTGTGGGGTTTTTTTCCCCCTTTCTCCTTCTTTATGTGCTGTAGTCTTTTTGGTTTCCAGCTAGATAGGAAACTTCTCACATAAGAATCTGTCTTGAGAGAAATGTTAGCAGCTCCATTTAGTTGAAAACTATTGACTTCACACATTAAGCACACTTATTTGATCATCAAAAATCCAATGTATTTTTGTTGCTGAGTCCAATGGGTCATGTATCTTAGTGGTCCACTAGTCATTCACAATAACGGGTGCTACAGAAAAGGAAGCAGAAAGAACCAATATTTCCAGTGCATCTGTCATATATAAATGCTGCAACGAAGAGGCTGCTTTGAATTTTATGTCAAATCAATATATGGAATTTGAAAGGTGCGTTAATTAATTTATTAAATAAACACGTTAAGTATATCTCCTGCCTGAATCTAACATTTAAAGAAATAAATTTGCTTATTAGAAGATAGAATAATTGTATTTTAGTGGAGACTTCAGCATTCGTTTCTACAGTCAAACCAGTTATGAAACTTAGGTGGAACATTTTCTTTTTTCTTTTAAATAACTCCCAGTGAAACAAATGAAATGTATGAAAATCTTCTTTAGGAAATATTTTTAATTTAGACATGGCAATAAATATAAGATGGGAGGGTTGAACTGTTCTTTACTGGACCTTGGTGCACCATGTTCAGACTTGAAGAAGATCCTCCAGATGCTCATTGGAGTTCTAAGTTGCTGTGGACTTTCACCGAGACCTTCCTCTCTGGAGGAGATGCACATACTTTGTCCTTGTGCAAGTCATTCACACTGAGAATTTACAAGCCGTGTACACTTGAAATGCCACCTTTCAAACAGTGGATCTGATGTACCATTATGCTATAATGTAGACACAGTGGAGATGTCAAATCCCATGGTAATTCTCAGTGAGTGAGCTGTGCACGTTTTTTTCAGAGTGTGATTTTTCTGTGGGGGTGGTGGGGAGAAGGGTAGTTCCCTAAATAAATACACCCTGATGATCCTAGTTGTGCTGAAGACTGTTAGATCAGTGAAGCAATTGATGTTGGCAGTCACTGTTATTTCTGTTCTGTTAGCTCCATTTCTTAAGAATTTTGGCATTGGCATCTGCAAAACCACCAGCAGGATTGGAATGATGAGGCATGGGAAAGTTCAATGAAAAGCTCTTTTGAAATGCAGTATCATGTCAGGAGCCAGAGTGCATAAACCTGCTCTCCCAGGGGTTTTGCTGCCTGGGCTGGGGGACAACTTGGGGCAGCTGGAATTGCACCTCCCTCATTACTATGGCCCTGCCTGGCGATCACTGATCTGTGGCAGACTCTGGTTATCCTCATCAGATCAGGCCCTGCCTTGCTGACTCAACTTTCTGGCGTCACGTCAGATCTGCCTTGTTATTACAGCCTCATCTGGCAGTCACTGGTACGTTAGCTGGCCCTGGTTGCTGTCACGGACCTGCTCTGCTTTTTCGTTCAGGTGCCGTGGGACTGTGCCCTTGTCAGAGCGTGCTTTGCCCTGCCCACCCTGCTGTGACTCCTGGCTGCCAGCTCCACTTTCTGTTCCAGGCAGCCTGCCCTCGCTGCTCCCTGACGTACGCCTTCAAACAGGTGAAACAATGAGTTGTTTGTTGTCAATCTTCGTAGCGGAAGTGGGTAATAAAATGTTTCTATGGAAAGGAATATCAATAAAACAACCAGCCCTGACGTGTTATAGAACTGGATGTACTTTCTCCGCTTTTTGCTTTGCTATTGCTACTGAATGTATTGAGAAAAACCATTCACAGACGTCAATTGTGCTGTTAAGCATGCAGCACTGTAAATTTGAGGGTATGGAAAAATGCAGGATTACAGAAGGTATTCCTTTCTTTTCTTTCTGATACTTGGCATGATAAATACGTGTATTTTGGAGAATATTTAAAAACAAATGTTATGCAAAATTCTTCTAGAAATTAATGGTAAAATAACATTCTGAATAAGGTGCAGATATTACAGCTTCATCAGAATCCTTTGAAATTCCTTATCAATTTTATAAGTATTTTAAAATAAGCAACCTAATATTTCAAATATATGTTATGCTGTGTAGGCTATACTACATAGAAAGGCCTTGTCTTCTGAGCTTCTCTTCAGAAATACTTTTTTCCCTGTGCTCTGTGCTCACATTCATACTTTTTAGCTCATAGGTAACTCACATTAAATTTTTTGTTCTCACTGTTGTGATTTGTTCCACCTTCAGAGATTATAAGGAAGAAGAAAAAGCCAAGTTTTTATCACAGGAGGCAGTACAATTCCAAATTATCAGTAAGTACAGTTGTCATAATTGAAAAGGATTTTTTTTTTAATCAGAAGTACATTGTTATGATATATGTACAAACTGGATCATAGAGAAAGTAATGCTCATTCTGACCTATCCTTCATTAAATTCTGTTGATAATGAAATTAATATTGAAGAGAGTTCAATTTTCCTCTATGATGTGGTGGGTTTTTTTCATTCCTTGCTTGGACAGTTATCCTGTTCTAACTAACTGGAGCTGGACATACAAAGCGATTTCCTAATGAATCTTGAAATAGAGCTTGACCAGTGCTCATATACATTTTAATTTTTAACCACATTTGCATTGCATAAGCATTATAGGTGTATACATATGTCTGAAGCCTTTTAGAACATACATAAAGCTTAAAAAATGAATGCTGCAGAGGTGGATTCTTATGAGACTAGTTGCTTATCAGTTGTGTAAAATTAAAGGTCTATTAAACAGATGAAGAAAAAAGACATAGTTCTTGACACATCTGTGGATCCCACAATGTACCATTTATTGGAGCTTCTGGCACCTTTTAATCTGTAATACATGGGTTTCCCTCGAACTTTTCCAACTACTATACTACCTTTTTATATACTTTTTGTTCTTATAATAAAGTTAAAGCATCCAATGTAAGTGATAATGCATTATGTGTGTCTGTATATTAATATAGAAAAAGAAAAAATGAAATCTGAGCTTTTATAACTAAACAGGGAATACATCTTTATTTGCTTGTGAATTCTGCAGATAGAAATAGATATTTCTTGGTATTTGCTTGCATATTCAATCTTTTAAACAAACATCCAAACCAAAAAATAAGTATTGAACCAACATTAGAAAAGCTGGCAGAAGAAAGAGTGGGAAGAAAAACATGGTTAAAATATTTTTCAGTTAGGGCTATTATTTGAAATGGATACTGACCTTTAACTTGTTAGTAAAGCTATTATTTGCATTGCAATCGCTCTGAGAACTGAGTGACAGTACAAAAAAAGAAGAGTTAGGAAACTGTAACTTTCTGTGAAAAGAGTTTAACGTGGTTTAACAGAAGGCAGCGTAACTTGCTAATACCCTGTTTTTGCCTGCAAATAACTGAAAGTTTCCAGTTTCTCGGTTAAACCACAGGAAGAAAGGCAGCCAATATATACAGCTCCTCCCTCAAAGCCTCTCCCCCACCTACTTGCATAACTTGAGTCTAAAACATGTATTTTTAAAAAAAAAAAAAAAGTAACCTGGAATATCATTTCCTGTTAGTTGACCTTACTGTATCATACATCACATTATGCTTTCCTTTACTTCAGATGAATTAGTTCCTATCTACCTTGCCTGCTCTGAGTGAACTGTGATTCCAGCAAAGTAATAGTAGATTAGTTTGGGAAGGGCACTGTAAGTGGTTAATCTTATCTTTCTTTTCTAATCTGATCAATATGTACATGGAAAGTAAGTGTTGACTGATGAAGCCTGTTACCACTGTGTAAGATTGTGACAAGAGTGTGTATGCAAAGAATGTCTAGAAATGCTTTGTGAAGTAAGATATGTTCAATACATCTCCTTTTTCTGAGCTGTCATTTGCAAAAATCAATTCCTTTTTATTAAGTTTCAATACTTAAAGGGGGCTTATGAGAAAGATGGGGACAGAAGTTTTAGTAGGGCCTGTAGCGATAAAGAGGTTTTAAATTTGGTTTTAAACTAAAATACGGTAGATTCAGACTAGCTATAAGGAAGAAATTTTTTACAGCGAGGGTGATGAAACACTGGAACGTGTTTCCCAGAGACGTGGTAGATAACCCCATCCCTGGAAACATTCAAGGTCAGGTTGGATGGGGCTCTGAGCAACCTGATCGATTTGAAGATGTCT